TTATTAACTCGTCATTTCCGTATGGATGGATGGATGGATGTGCGCAGCTTTGAGCCGTATCTCCTCCTCAACGAAGCAATATCGAGGACTAGTTCCAAAAGCAAATATGTTAAGCAAGTTCCGATGATGAACATTGGCCAAAAAAATTCCGGAATTCCTTCCTGGATTTCCCGGAAAAGCCAAAAAACCTCGAAAAAATGCTGTTTTTAACCCATATCTCGGCAACCAGACCACTTAGCGACTTGAAACGTTTACCAATCGATTTCTGCCATAATTTACAACAATATTGCCGAAGAAAGTTTTCAAAAATATCCTTTCGTTCGGTCACAAAAAATTAATTTCTTCTAATTTGTATTGGCTAAGATTTCTAAGAATATACAAATATTTCTAGAAGAAGCGAAGCGGTGAAGTTCCAAACCAAGCACACCGGCTGAGGCAGTCGCTAGTGAGAGGTAACGTCTACTTGTAACACGCTGCCATTGGCCAGACTCGCGCAGATCTCGCGAGGGGGCGGGGACTAGCTCTGCTCGTCTGGTTTAAACTGAGCATCTTGTAGGTTTTTAGCGCAAAGCGCTGAGGTTCGAAAGGATTTTACCATAGCGAATGAGCGGAGGTTCGAAAGGATTTTTACGTAGGTCTGTGAATTCTAAAAAATTAATTAAGGAAATTGCGCTTTAATTGTCACTAGACTTTTTATTAACTTGTTTTTTTTAAATATCGATAAATCCTTTCTAAAATATTGACTGAGCTCAGCATAGTGTATATTAATCAGTTTCTATTGCAATTTACAAAAAAAAAAAAAAAGTTTAAAAAAACGCGAAATAACAGCTAAAATTCAATTTCTAACATTACTTTTTTTAAATGAAAAAAGTGTGACGTCACACCATCTGGCTACCCATCTCCCCCACAAAATTACGGGTCCGTCTCTCCACTTCGAGTAGGGCGTCATTTATGGACGATAAATGTGCTTCTCCGAAGAGATGCTTGAAAGAAACTCTGCGAGCAGTCGATCGAGTGATTTTTTTTTTACTTCGAGTTACGAGCACAATTTGAGATGAGAGGAACCGGACCTGAGGGTTCTACAGCTTATGTAAATAATGAACACCCCAAAAAGTTGCAACGGACCATACATAACACTTATCTTCCGTATTTCCGCAACATTCTGAAAGGGAGCAAGAAACAAACCTCTTACATATTTTCTTTCAAACAGCCTACTATGCGAAAGTGGATAGAACTCGGTGAAAATGCCAAGACAAGTGAAAAGCAATGCAGGAAAATTAAGCGCAAGTGATAATAAAATCTAATGAAGCGGGAGTTATCTCCTCTGAACTTTTCTTGTAAAATAAGTATATTCTTGAATATCTGTATATATAATTCTCTACGTCGCCCAACCATGCCGGACACCACCACCATGCATTCTCTACAATCTTAGAGCCGGGTCGATTTAGTGACGGCTATTAGGGGCAGATAATTTAGTTTTTAAACGATTTGAAACTACGGGGGGGGGGGGGGGGGGGGGGGGGTTAACAAGTTCTGCTGATCTTTTCATTGTCGTTGTCGTCTGTTCACTGTCGTCACGTACGGCTGCTTTCCCTAGCGGGGGGGGGGGGGGGGGTAAAGATAATCGCCCTTCACGAGCTACTGATAGTGTTTTAAAGCAAAATACTCGCAGCATCATTTGATAGTGTCGAATTCACAAATTATGAATTACTGAAAAGTAGAAAATAAAACAACTAAATAGCGCCGTATGCTACGCCGCGGGTCGGCTCTTTATTACTGTTAAGGGTTGGTATGTCACTTTGAGTACAATATAAATATAGAGGTTTTTGACAATGCCGCTAGCTTTTCTTTTTTGGAGAAAACACAGGTGGACATTTCTTTCAAAATTCTGAATGAGAATATATATATATATATAATATATATATATATATATATATATATATATATATATATATATATATATATATATATATATATATATATATATATATATATATATATATTTAATTCAACCGGAATAGTCAGGGAGAGTAAAACAACAATTGTTTTCCATGAAAAATACACAATAGCTGTCAGTAGTAGTCTATTTATATCAAACTAGCGTGACCGTCCACGCGTTGCCGCGGGGCTAGAAGTAAGTCCGAGTATAACCCGAGGTAAATCGCACCCTGCCGGTGCGCGGGCGGACGCGCCTGGTTCAATTTAGTGAACGACTATAAAACTACTTCTTATCCATATACTATCACACTCTTTAAAACGAATGTATGCGCCATAGCTCAAGGGATAGTCCTGGGTGCCAAATCGCACCCTACCTGGGTGCCGGCGAACGCACCTAATTCAGTTTAATGAAAGACTTTAATGCCCCATTGTATCCATAGTTAATCGCACTGATTAAAACGAACGTAGGCACCATAGCGCTCACTGAGTAGCCCGGGGCGCCAAACTGCACCATGCTGGGGCGCTGCCCATTCGAAATTGAATTTTTTTCGCACCTAATCGAACCCTGCAGGGGCACCGGGGACGCGCCTGTTTTGATGTAGTCAACGAATATTGTTGTCCATCGTTTCTTTAGTGTATTGCCTTTTTTTTTATAACCAATGTAGGCGCCATAGTGCTCACATGTGAGCCCGGGGCGCTTCGCGTCACGCAATAGCCGGGGCGTCGGCAGCTACGCGTGTTGAAGTTTTATTTAACACTAAATATAGTAGTACTCCTTACCCGCTATGCAGGAAGCCCGATTAATGGATATCAAGTGCTAAGATAGCCGCTCTGGAACTCCTGGCGCCAAAACGGTGTATTGACAAAAATCGCACCCTCCCGGCGCTGCCCATAAGAAATTTTATTTTTTTCCCCCGCAGAAACCTTCTCGGGAGTATTCTGATCAATTCCCTAAAGCTTCATGGCACTGGGGTGAACGGTGTCGAACAGCATCGGACTTTTATTTTCTTATATACCGTATTTAGAGAAAAATCGCACACTTCCGGGGCGCCAGGTTTAGTAATGCATTAAAGACAAACACACACACACACACACACGCGCGCACACATACATTGCTTTTTAAATATATAGATAATATATCACCCCATTATCAAAATTAAAAGTGTTTGCTGAAATACTAGTAATTATTTGTTTGACTATTTCTAGCCTTAATAAAATCGGAAGTCATTTAGTACTTGTTACACAAATGTAAAATTTTCAATTTCGGTTGAAAAATATGCTTTTTGGCAACACTACACCTCTTCTTCATCTTCTTCGTTTTAATTTTAGTGTTGGAATGGATCCCGTCCAACACAATTAAGTATACGTGTCAACTGGTTATGCGCCATTGAGGCCATTGACTTTTCCTTCTGGATTTGCTTCCATAGCCTTTGTCCAACCAAGAACAAACTACAAGGCAGCAACGCGAATTTGGAACCACTTGGAACCAGCTTTTCAAGCCCATTGTAATTTTTTATGCTTTTTTTTTTTTTTTTTTCGGAAATAATGTAAAGTACTAGATCTACTTCCGGATACCTGAAAATGACTGAAATCATAATTAATTTTTATAAAATGTCGTGCATCTATTTGAAACAACCCTTCTGTTGTTGGTATTGTAGAAACCGGGATTATAATTCTTAATCTATACTCTGTATACGAGATGATAACTATAAAATAGCATTAACGCTCAGTATGGCACCGAATGCTGGAAAGTAACAACCGCCACCAGCAGATCACAGGACTCTTTCCAAACTAAGTACTTGCGAATGGTTAAAGGCATACACTGGCCTAACACCATCTCCAATTATATGCTACAGTAGCGTAGCGAGGGGGGGGGGGATATGTCCCCGGGCGCCAACCCTAGGGGGCGCCAAAATGGGTTGGAAAAATAAATTGAAAGGTTGAGGGGGGTGCAAATCGAAAGTTTGGGGGGGGGGGGGGGTGCAAATCGAAAAGTTTGTCCCCGGGCGCCGGGAAGGGTCGCTACGCCTCTGATATGCTACTAGGGGAGATGGAAATGGAAGCAGATTTCCGAAATAATAATAATTTAAAAAAAAAGATGGCGATGGATTGGACACGTCCTAAGGATGAATTCAAATGACATAGCAGGAACGAGGCTAAACTGGACGCCTCAAAGAAAAAGAATGCCTCGAAGGCTAAGGGAGACATGGAGGCGCACGGCGAGGAAGCAGCTGGCAGAGACAGGACCAACGCAGCAGACACAGTTAAGCAATTAATGGTACCAAAATAGTATAGTTTAACACAAAAAAATAGAAATTAACTGGTAAACAAGACGCGATTTGACTTGTAAACAAGCGCAGGAGTTTGTGTGAAAGAGAGGATATATAAATGATATATAGTAGTCCAACTTGAGTGTACGGCCCGCAGAAAGGTCGAGATACAGATCTTGAAAGGACAGATAGTTTGTGAGATGAGAGAATGCGGGCAGAGGATTAAAAACGGGGCGATAGCCTAAAAGACTGAGTTGATGTTGTTCATAATTCCCCGAACGAAATGGAATTTATATAGAAAATATATACTTTTAACAGTGTCCGCCCCCCCCCCCCGAAAATTACAAGTCCCCCCCCCCCCCCCCCGATCTGGAAGAAACACTGGCGACCGGGTTCACCTCAAAGGTTACTGTTAGTGCAACGGTCGCAGAAAATGATCGAACAGCATAGAACGATTGAGCCGCAGAGAACGACAGTGTAATAGAATACTAGAGATACAGAAGGAACCAGTACATATACCTGTGACAGTGGAGGTGTGTTAGTTTTAGTGTTATTCCCCCACCCTCACCCACTACCCCCTGCGTACTCTATTGCGCTTACCACTTCCACTTTATGTAAATCATTAGATTCTAATCCGGCAATTATTGATTTACTTATTTCATTAGTTGTTTTTCAGTAGTTAAATTTTAAAGATTAAAATAGATTAAAACAACTAACCACATACCTACTGAATTAGGTTCTATTCCAATTGTTGAGTTTTCTGTATTTTACGAAAGTTGTTGCAGTTAGTGGGACCTGAAATAAAAAAGTTGGAAGCGATCGAACTTATCCGGAACAAGAGATTCTAAATTTAAGACCCAAATCTAGAACTAGAATCTAAGCCAAATCTAAGCCTAGTCAAGATTTTATGATCAAATTGCCTCTAAACTGAGGATGACAGCTGCATCTGATGGTTTGTTTAAATTAGTTCATGATTACGATATATTACTTTCAACAAATGTCTTTAAAACATGATCATGTCAAAAAATATTTATTTTTTAGTCAATTTTTTTAGGCCTAGCCTAGGCCCTAGGGCTAGCCCCCCCCCCCCTTCCCCCGCCCAGGCCATTTATTCAAATTTATTGCATTTATTTTAATTTTACTATTTTAAATTTTAGGGCCTATTTTAAAAAATTATTTTTAGATTTTAGGGCCTATGGGGCCTAATATTAATTTTTTTTTAAAATGTCACCTTACCCCCCCCCCCCCTTATAAATTTTATAGGCCTAATCATTATTATTATCATTAGCCTAAAATTTTAAAATATCAAATTGATATTTATTAGGCCTAGGCCTATTTATGATTTTATTTATCAATGGACCCAACTGAGAATACTCAGAATAATCGCGGTATTATTCAAAATGTCCATTAATTATTTTAAAAATCAGGTACGGTAGGGGCCTACAATGTTACATAATAAATTTGGTTATAAAAATATGACTGATGTTTCGTTGGACTAATGACTAAAGATTGGATGTAGATCTAGGCCAATCTAGGCTATTTAATGTTTCTAGTGTTATCTGTAACTAAACAAATTTAAAAAAAAAGCCAAAAACAATTTGTGTAGGCCTACATTTTATCACTGAAAAAAAAAGTGAAAATGAAGAAAAGTAAACCAATAGGCTACAGATCTAGGCCTAATTCAATTTTAATCATCAGTACTAGATCTACAGGTAGAAGCACTAGGGCTGACCTATAATTGGAACAATTATAAATGTTAATTTTGTAATTAACTGTGTACAAGAATGTGATGTTAATGTATATGTAGGCTACAATTAGTACAATACACATTTATACTACATACCCATTGAACATACATAAAACTAATGTATTGAATAGGCAAATTCACCACAGATGGTATGAACTTATAACTAAGAAGATGCTAATCACTATATATCCATATGCATAGGCCTCTTTAATATTAATAAAACAGTAATGCATGGAGCAAAATGCTTACTGACCAACCACAGTGTCCAACTGCCTATCACAATCAGTTATTAATTATAGGCTAAATAAGTTAAATAATAATTAACACATGAGTGAATAACAATAATTTTCATAAATTGCAGTGACACTCTAGGGTTAGTCTATTGTGATACCAAGTTTACCAAGCCTGCTCAATTGTAGATTTTTTATTGCAATGCTGTATATTCTAGAATGTTTTTATTTTTGTTTCAATTTGTATTTGTCTTAATGTAAACTTTTAAATAAATTCCCAGATGATATTATTAGAAGGAGACTACTGATTGATGGAGAAGGTGGGAATGATGATAAAAGACTTAACAATCTTCTTAAAACTTTCATTCGCTGGTCAGCATCCAAAGAAGAAGATGAAAAGTATGTAGTTCTATAAATTCAAATTGAATTGTATAACCTAATAAACTAATATTGATTATAGATATGTATGATATGTAGATGTTTATTAAGGTATTATCTTTAGTTTAAAAGTGAGATTCATCAGTTAGTCTACAATATTACTATTCTGATGGAAAAAAATGTCTGCCTTCTCAATATACTTGTTTATTGTTTTAATCTTTAGAATTTATTTATGTGGTTTAGTTGCAATGGAACATGTAGATATAACTATTAAATACCATGTAAATGGGCCTTTAGTAAATTTGTGGAGCTTTCAAAACATTTAAATGGTAACAGCACCTGTTTTTAGCCTAAAATCCATTGTATATTTTTGCTGTTTGCTGATTTATTCAGTTCCCAAGCTATGTACCAGCGCATGCAGGCCATGATAGGACAGTGTGAATACACTTTGGAAAAGGCAATAAACACTTTTGAGATGAACAAGCAGGAACTGGAAAATTATGAAAAATTAAGTAGAGAAATAGGTTAGTAACCAAAATATGGCCATTTAGCATTATTTTAAAAGTGATGGTAATGAAATTAATTCTCTTTGTGTAATAAAGTAGGAATTTATGATAATACACTTTAACGTTTTGGATAGCAGTGTTTCATGTTTATTATTTTTAGATGATAAAATCAAAGAGGCAACAACAAGAATAGCTGAAGCTAAAACTGAACTACAGATGGCAAAATGTATTAGGAAAAATAGACAAGGTCTGTATTTTCAAATGATCTGGGTGGTTATTTAAAGATTATTAATTTGTGTATAGAGACTGCTTTGATTATCATTACTGATTCAGCAAAGCCACTCAATACAATATGATTTGAGTTGTTTAATAAAACAGGTCATCTCACTTATGAAAACCTTAGTTTTAAAAGTAACCTAGCAACACTATCATCAAGGCAATATAATATAATAATATCAAACAGAAGTTGCAGCTTATTTTACTTGTATGTGAAGCATATGAATATATGTTTTATATTGGATGGTAGCAAATTAAAATATAGATTAATAAAACTATTGAATCAATCATTTCAAAATGATCTGAAAGTTTTTACACCTTAGATTAAACTTTGCAGTTTAGTACCAACTTAAATATGTAGTATATATTCATTTTTGCTACCTGGATTTTTCCTTAAAAAAACTACAATTTTGTGAATTATTTAGTACAATTATATAAATATTTGAATCCCTCTGAGTTACAGTAATCATATGGCAGGCTGCCTGCGTTATCCATTATATAACTGGCAGAAAATTTATTAGACATAATTTAAACTATAGCACACCCCACCACTCTACTTCACTTTTTAATGCTTATTAATGAATAGTTTTTAGTTAGGTTTGGATAAGTAAAAAAAAAATGACAGTAACTAAAAACTTCCTAGAATAAAATGTGTTCTTCAAACTCAGAACATTGATGTTCTAAACAAGTACTTCATTAGCAAATATGATAGATTTATTTTAATAGTCCTGTAAATTATGTATTTCATAATCCTATTTTACACAGAATATGATAACTTGGCAAAGATTATTCAGCTCCACCCTGACAGACAGGCAACAACAAAGTTTGTATTTTTTTTCTGTTTAGCTAAGACCTTAAGTTGTAATTTGTTTACTGTTTAAATTTCATTTATAAATACATTTGTGATGAAATTAACTCCTTGTAAATCTCTATCAGTGCTGCCTTTTAAAAATCTGACTTTTGACCAAGTGGTGGGTTTTAAACTTTTTTTTTTACACAAATTTATTTTCTTGTGTGGTTTCAAATGTATGTTATTGTTTAACTTTAGTATGATAATTTCATACAATTTATAATTTATTTGTTATCCACAGGCAGTTGCAATTACTAGACAAAGAGTTATCCAATTTGGCTACCACAAAACAGAAATTAGAAGAAAAGGTACATATTTTTACTAACTATTGTGTACTTGAATTTTCTGCCTGTCATTTTTTTCATCACAAATCTTGCAATATTGTAGTTTTAGAAAATTATGTTATTTTAGTGCAAATATAATAGCTACATTTCTTTTGAGATACAAGCAGTCAATAAGGCTATTTGTATTTGCTTTGGGTTACACATTTTTTTTTAGATACAAGTAACCCGGATCCAGTTCATAGAAAATAAACACCCTGAAAAAGTTGCAACTGAGGGTGCATTGCAGCTTTTTAATGACACTTTCTCACACCTGGAAGATGTAGATTGCTAACAATCTTACTGTTGGTCAGCAAACAATCTTACTGTTGGTCAGCCAACCAACATCTAGGCTGACTTCCAATTTTTTATCATAAAACCACGGAGACTGCACAATTGAAGTTAAAAAGCAAAACAATATGGAATATTAATTTGCTTATCAGAAACACAGTTCAACAGTTTAAGCAGGAAATAAGCATTCTAATGATCCTTTTGGCAGCCATTCCCTTATTAAACTGAAAGGGGCATAACCCGGTTTATTCAATTCCCCCCCCCCCCCCCCCTCACAATAACAGTTTTGTTTCACCTATAAATTTATAAAATTTGCTTTCTTTCTTACAGTTGGAGTTGCGTAGAAAACAGTTTATGGTGCTTATAACTTCCATTCATGAGTTACAACGTATATTGGAGGGTACGTTGTAAATGTTAAAATTTAAGCAAATGACGTGTTTAGATAACTTTTTAAAATTAGTTATGTGTAGGCCTACTCTGTTAGAAGTATTTGTTTATTTTTTGTCTGATGGAAGGTATACTCTTAAATTTTCAGAAATAAAATCCCATCATAAAAAATTTTAAGTGCTTCCCTTTTCCGGCATATGATTTTATCTTCTGATTAACATCATTATGGTAATTTGATATTTTAAATTATTTCAGAAGATGACGAAAACAATGAAGAATCAAAAGAAGAAGAGATGAACCTTTCAAGCTAACCAATGTTGCATGCAAATTTGTATTATATAAAAAGTATTTGAATTTTAAGAGCACTGCCAGCCACATTTGTCTATATTAATTAGATCTAGATATTTTGCATATGAAACTTTCTTACTTTGACTGGTCGCAGAGTATTTAGCATAAAGAACACTGTATAACAAGTGTTGAAATAGTTAAGCACTTTATTCTTTAATTTTGGAGTATTAGATACTATATTTGGGAGTACTAAAAGAAGGGAAACTTTTCTTTTGGCTGAGTATATGTGATCCAGCATTGTAAGTCTTTGTATTAATTATATTTTCTTTGTTCTAATATTTCAAATAAAAATTTCATACTTTTTAAATGGTGCTGTCCTTCACATTCAATAAAAGTAAATAATATGTGTATTATTTGATTTATTTGAATAAACATGGCCGTTTAAAATGTCTGGTTTGACTTATATTTTTAACCAGTCATACTACCACTGAAATCTTGTAATATTAAGCACTGCTATTTTCTACTCTATATATTCTATGCAGTAGTTACTTTCCATAATGTGATTCTAAACCAACCAGATTTTAATTTAAAAAAAAATTACATTTATTAAAAAGAGTACACCATTTTGGACGGAAAACAGTTATAAATGTAGACTTCATACAACAAATTTGATTACAAGTGAAATGGTGAATCTAACAATTCAATATAGGCTATGTGTTTTACAATGCTAGAAGACCATTTAAACAAAAATATATAAAAACTTGGTTAATTCTAAATCGATTTTTACAAAAATATGGAATGTCAAATAAAAGACATGCAAGCTTTATTTCATACAAATATAACAGTTTCCAAATTAAATTAGTATAACAAATGAAATAACAGGATACAGTCAAGAAATATATGAATAAATAGTATGACAAGATAATAGTTATGTACATCTAATAATTAGCTTAATAATTCAGATTAAGCCCCATTCAAAAGTTACAAAACTACAGACTCTATATCATGGGTACTACATAAAAATCTATAGCATGAGCTATGTTGATTATTCAAAACTGCATAGTTCATTACTCAAAGATGTCTAAGATCATTTTCCAACCCGTAAATTTTTGCTTTAAGATGCTTGAGTTCTCCAACCAACTGCTTAGAGCGTCCAGCAGTACGTCTAACATTTGTTAAAACTTGCATGTCTATATCGTCTGGTCGCTTCAAGTTCATGTCCTCTGTATATCCTAAAGTAACCTGAAAAATGTTCATCAGTTTGGTGTTAGTAAACATATTGTACTTCCTATTCCTCTGAAAAGGGTCTGCTACTAGTTAGTAAATAACTAAGATTGTAATTACTTTAAAAAAAAAACAACAGGTTAACTTGTTAATTGATTTTGCTTACTGCAATAAAACATAATGTCCAACAATCATTGTGAGCACAAGTTTTCTGTTTTTAGCTGGTGGTTTTTTGTAGCCTTACCCCATCTCCTACCCATAAAAGATTTAAAAAAATAATGGGACACAAACCTTATATAATTGTTTTTCCACATCCTTCAGTCGAGTTCTTAAATTTTTTATATCTGTCTTAAAGCCTTCGACCTCAAGATTTCGCCTTTTCTCTAAATCTTGATAACGAGTATTCATTAACTGGAGCCGGCTTGTCATCTTTTCACTGCGATCCTGTTGATGATTGACAATCTTAAATTTAATATCTAAAAATATATATTTTTTAACACTTCCTAGAAAAAATCTCTCTGTCAAACAATGGGATGCCCTCTAGCCAATGAATGGTTTATTATCTGATACACTTTATCTATACTATTGACATTTATCTTTTGTTAAAACATCTTTTCCCCATCAATTACTTAAGGTTAGAACCAGAACTTAATTAGTACTTTAAATATGGGTTTATAAACTACAACTATATAAGCCACAGAGAGTTAATAGGTGATAGAGTAAAAAACAAATAGCTTTCTAATAAGATTTGTCAGGTGGAAAGGAAAGAAGTGTACCTGAAAAACCTCTCTGGTGACATCACCTTCTTCTCTAAGTCGAGACAACTCATCTTCCAGCTGTATGACTTGTTCTCTGTAGTTGTCTGCCAGTTTCTGACTTTGACTGAGTTGAAATTCAAGGGACTGAAAGTATAATTAATGATTATAGTCATCAAGAATCAGCCTAGAATTTTCTGTAAATTACTCTAGTAGTCTTTATGTTAAATAAACCACTGTTAAAGTTTGAACAACTGAAAATTAGAAGTGAGTATATTTAAAAAATGGATTGACTGTGTATTGCCTAATAAACTGAGAACAATAAGAAGTAAAAAGGGTTTTAAAAAAATATTTCTCATTATGATGATCTAAAGTATAAACATTTATTGTGTGAATTTATGTTGTTCTCCCATTTTAAAAAGTGGATCTTAAGTTGTTTATACCTTTACTTCTTCTGGATCGATTTTATTCTCATTAAAAGATGCATTTATGACTGTTTCTTTCATTTTTGCAGATGCTTGTTGTTTTGCGACATCCAACTCTCTTAACAGTCTGTCTTTCTCTGCCATCCATGCTCTTTCCATAGCACGTCCTTCAAAACGTAGCTCTAAAAAGTCTTTTGTGCTTTCATACAGTAGGTCTTGTGTCTTGTGTAACCTTGGACAATTGAAAATTATTTTAATTTCAAGTTTAAAATGAGGATCAAAAACAAAACTGAAATATAAAAAACAAATAAAACAAAGCTAACTTCTCTGTCAGTGTTTTTATTTTCTCTTCATCTCTTTGTCTTCTGGTTTCATACTCCTCATCTTTAACTCTTCTGTCTTCCATTAGAGCCTCCAGCTGCTCCTTGGCTAGCTTTGTTTGCTCCCCAAGTTGAGCCTGAAGTGATTCCACCTTGAGAAAAAGTAGACTGGGAATAAGTTGGGGAGTAAATATTCATACACAAAAAAATGTATTTGAATTTCATCACCAATACTACTAGGAAAAAGATCTGACAATTTTTTTTTTAAAAGTTAAACTTAACAGGCCTAATGAAATAATTAACAACATATGTCTGTACTCCTGAGAGGCTGAATAATACAAACAACTTATGATAGTTTTAAAACTATAGATGTAACCACATTTTTCTACCTGTAATGTGAGTAATTCATTTTCTTGTGTCAATTTTTCTTCTGGCAGCTGAATTAGAGAAGATCTATTGGGGCCAGTTGTTACTTGCTTTTTCCTTCCTGCTTTTACATTTTTGGTAAAATTTCCATTAGATTACTTGTTTTTGCTTTTTACAATTTTAGTTAAAATAAAATAAAAGAATAATAATTTGTGTGTTTAGATAAAGGTTTGTGGTATAAAGACCGTCACTCCAGTATAAAAGTAAAATAGCTGAAACAACAATTTTATTAATAGCCCTTGACAAACCAGTGAGTTGATCATCTCTTTAAGCAAACAGTAAACCATAGAGTTTAAAAGTTCACTGTAAAAATACATTATGTTATTTGTTTATTTCTTGCTTGAAGGATAAACAGTGTTATGTTTTGTATAGTGTTATGTTTTTGTAGATTGCATGCAGTAATCATAGAAACATAGCACAAAAAAAGTTCTTACTGATTTATAATTAACAAAATTTGATGAGGTATTGAAAAAAGGTGATAAGGATGCTTCTCATTTTGTGTTTTTTTTAGGTTTTGCCTTTAAAGTGAAAGGGTACAGTGCAAGTCAAATGAAGCTGTTTATTGAGCATGAATAATTACCTTTTGATCCAAGATTTTGGATAGGCACAGCACTATTGTTAATATCCTGAGCCCTCTGCTTATGTCTCTGCTCAACAATTGCTTTAGCTGGTGGTTCCTTGATAAAGTAAGTCACTTCTCCACCCTCTGTTCCACCAAGTGAAAGCAAAGTGTGAATTTTTTTCTTATCTTCCAGCTCTCGTATCTAGATAGAAGGAAATAAATTCTGTTAGAAGACTTCTTTACTTACTTTTGTATTAATGACTCGTCTTTCGATGACAGTAATCTACAATCCTATCAGTGACCCACCAGTAGTCTACAATCCTATCAGAGACCCACCTGTAGTCTACAAGCCTATCAGTGACCCCACCTGTAGTCTACAAGCCTATCAGTGACCCACCTGTAATCTACAATCCTATCAGTGACCCCCCACCTGTAGTCTACAAGCCTATCAGTGACCCCCACCTGTAGTCTACAAGCCTTTCAGTGACCCCCCACCTGTAGTCTGCAGGCCTATCAGTGACCCCCCACCTGTAGTCTACAAGCTTATCAGTGACCCCCCACCTGTAGTCTACAAGCCTATCAGTGATTCCCCACCTGTAGTCTACAAGACAATCAGTGATTCCCCACCTGTAGTCTACAAGCCTATCAGTGACCCCCCACCTGTAGTCTGCAAGCCTATCAGTGACCCCCCACCTGTAGTCTACAAGCTTATCAGTGACCCCCCCCCCCCCCACCTGTAGTCTGCAAGCCTATCAGTGACCCCCCACCAGTATTCTACAAGCCTATCATTGATTTAACTTTAGCCCTAAAAACCTGTCAGTGCTTGGCTTTGGCTCAGCAATCTGTAAGGGATTCACGTTACTCGATGGACTTGTCAGGGGTTGGCCAGTAGCCAAGTGACCTGTCAGGGACTCACCTTTAGTCGATCATTTTCAGCATACAGTCTCAGAACATGCTCCCTTTCTTGAAACAAATAAATCTGCATGTCACTTAGTGCCTTTTGCAACTCCACAATTTCTTCTTCTCTTTGACGGAGCTCCCATTGCATAGTATGCTAGTTGTGAGAGAAAAACTTTGAAAAATGCCATCATATGAACTTGTTGAGTAAAAATTATAAATTGAAAAACACCAAGAAAATTAACACAATTTAATTTCTAACTATAAACAAGTTTAGGAAATCTATACCTGTTCTTCATAAGCTACTCTATATTCTTCAAGTTTTTTCACTAGCTGTTCATGTTCATCATCATATTCTGCAATTTTCTTGCGGTAATATTCTAGTAATTCTCTTGAAGGTCGAAGATGTCCTAAAACATACATTTTTTCAAAAGTTAAATCTTATGAGTATATAAAAATATAGAACTGGCAATTCTAAACAATTATTTTCTTCAATAGTAAAATTTCAAGTAACATATCAGTTAAACTCTATGAAAAAAAACCCACTTTGATTTGTGAAAAACAAGATAGACTAATGATGTCAGAAAAAATAATGTAATAGTTGAAGTAGCATAATTAGAAAAACAATTAAGAAGTAAACTAACAATGATGGAATGATACATCCTAAGAAGAGAAAGGAATCCATGAAGTAATATATCTACCCAAGGCATACTGAGACTAAGTGGTTATACCTAATCTTTCATTTATTCCTGGTAATTCAGGGCTATCTCTGACATTTTTACTTTGCTGTTTCCCTGTTTTTTTGGATGCAAAGCTGTTATTCTCTGATGCATGGTTCCAAGTGAATAAGCTTTCATTTAGAGTGCTTAAATCAAGTCTGTCCTTTTTAGAGTTTCCTGAGGACTTTTGATTTGTTCTGCAAACAAAATACTGAAAGTAGCAAATTAGAATGTAAATACTGCACTCATTTTCAGCAGCCATAACCAAGCAGAGATGCACACACAGGTGACAGACAATATAGCAAACAATTTTAAAGAGTAATATTATGCTAAATACTGTTCAGAGATCTGGACTTGCCCTATTGAACTACATATTATAATAGACATTAGCCTATATTGAAAAAAGATTAAAAATGATGTTAACTGAATCTTTGAGCTGTGTAAAAAAAAAAGGTGGTTCAGCTAAATAATGTATAGGCATATTAAATATATAAAATATATATAACACTGCTAGCCCTAAATTCTAGAGTTTGAATCCCAGGCTTGAGTTCATGGGTACCTGACTCACAGAAGGGAAACTAAAGAGGTTGGGCATAATGATGACCCCTGTGTGCTGAGGTCATTGAAACAGATGTGCCCTACTTCATCTGCCCAAAGTGTCTTGGACACAAATGGGAAAGGATAATGATTAAAATATATGTATGATAGAACATTGCCCATGCTCAGTAAGCAAGAACCTTGTTGTGATGACGCAAGAGTACGTCAGACATGTTGAGCAGATATAGTTTAGCAGAAACAGACTATAGGCCTAGTTGGTTGGTTAGAGAGGCCAATGGGCGCACAGGACTGACAGGTCACGTGGGACGGTCAGCTGACCACTGAGGCATGGGTCAGTAGAGCGATAGGCCAGGAGTTGTTAGGTAGCGGTCAGAGACGGCCGAGAATGTAGATAGTTAGGAGATCATGATTAGCTAGCGAAGGCAGAAGGTGTTAGGTTGTAGAATGGAGCAGACGTAGAATGTAGAGAACAGTTAGTGTTAGGATTGGTCATGGGAGTGCGTAGTAGTAGGTAGCATGTGGTATGAACAGTCAGTAGTAGAAGTAAATAGTACAGTGTAGATCAGTTAGGTAGAAACTTCAACATATATATCATTTTAATAAAGAACAATTATAGTTGAACTTGAACTGTGTGTTATTGGATTCATTCGTTCCGGCCTTTCGTAAAAATCCCCACCCTCACACTTGTACATTCTCTAGTTAGGGATAATTGATTATTGAATTGTAGGCACCATGGCTACACCATAAAGCTAAAATTTGCGTGCCCACCTAGACCTACATTTTTTTTTACTTTGTTGTTTCTTTTAATCCTTATCTAGAATCTGTATAGCAGCAGTAGACCTACATAAAAAAGGTAATTCTTTTTCTTAAAATGTCGTAAAACAACATACTGTAGTCTGTGTGTAAACTGTACACTGTGTGTGTACTGTAGTAGTGTAGGTGGTTTGAATGTTAAAGTTTAAAGTGAAAGTATACATTTCATAAGTTTATTTATATTCAATAGCCCATGGGCCTTAGCCAAACAAATAGACTAGATCTACATGTTTCTTGGATAAAATAAAAAATAATTTAAATTTAACATGTTCCCAGCTAAAAATAAAAATTGATTTGTTGAAATTTGTTGGAAGTTTTGTGCTCTAAACATCATGAATAATATAGATCTAGTATTAAACTAGAAAGATCTATATGTCATATGTTAGTGTAAACGCGGTGTTAGGAACGATCAGTCACTGTATATGACCAAATTTGTTCATGCTCCAGCCTGCTTTAGTGGGTGTATTCACTATCTAGTGTTGTACTGGTTAACAAGTTAAACGGGTTTATTACAAAACTAGAATTTTACTCGAATTTAATAGAATTTATTATCCTACAAAAAGACGTGTCTCATTTATTTCGTAGTTTCTAACTCAAAATTATATAACAATTCAAAAATATACTTTTAAAGCGTACGTGATTTTATTTCATGTAACCTATAATATAAGATCTAGATCTAAATACAAATATAATTTTTGAAAATTGGTTGCTAACCTAGCGCTTGGATGAGGGTCCATTTTCTATTTCCGGGATTGCTCCGCACAACACGTTTTAGAATCTACTTGCATTTTCATTTTCATTTGTTGTTAACAAGAAAAAAACATCAATGTATTTCAAAAATTAATTCTTAGTTTAAAAATTAAATTTCAATGAATTTTATTGATACATCATTAAGTTAAACTTTTAGTTTTTTGGGGTCAAATTTATGTTCACCTTTCGTCCGTAAACATACAATTAAGTATTAATACGACTTTTAACATCAATTAACAAACAGGTCTAATCCGTTAAATGAATAGTTTAAAAGCACATACTTTGTTATTTTATATATTAGGCAATATATAAATGATATTTTATTGTAATTTATTGGAGAAATACTTTTTTTGAAAAATCCTGTTAGATCTTGTTTTTTGTGCGGACGAAGACTGTTTAGTATGTTGTTAGGCACTACTAGCAATGCCGATTTCAGGATGTTGTCAATGGATTTAGTGTGATGTTTTTCTTTCTATTCTGGAATTATCACAGAGTGTTTAAGCGTGTGTAGTTATATTTCATGAAAATATGGATTCACAGTCACAAGATCCGTACGTTAATTTTAAGCCTCCTCCTGAGGCACCGGTTTTTACTCCAACTGAAGAGGAGTTTGCAGATCCGTTAGGTTACATAGCAAAAATAAGGTCGATTGGTTTGCAAGCTGGTATTGTCAAAATAAAACCACCACCAGTAAGTTTAAGTATAATAATGTTAGAGTATTTTAGTTTTCATTTACTGTTGTAATGTAATGTTAAGTTCGTTTACTTTTCGGTGATTTATCTTTAACGAAAATGTATTCTACGTGCAATTTTACTGCCTTGAGATGGCGACTAACGACGTCAGCCACCATTTCTCCACCATTCCCTAGCAGGCTAGATTGCTCGGGCTTGCCTTGGTTCGTGCAGCTGTAGGTAGAGTCTAGTAAAGAAAAAGCGAGTGGGTTGGGTGCTGTATAGCAAATGCAGTATCCAAGGGTACCACAAGTTCTGAAATTATAAGATGAAAATTTTATTCTAAGAATAAGCAAAGAAAATTGAAAAAAAAAAGGAACCCAAAATAATTATAACTGTAAGACAGTAAGAGGTTAGAATAAGTTGTAATTATAAATTAATAAGTCAGTTGATTTAATTGAATAATTACTAATAAAATAGCCTAATGCCAGTTGTTAGAGTTAGAGGACTTAAAATAATATATTTTCAGATCCTTTGATCACTATAGTCTATAGTTAGTAGTTAGTATAGACTATAGTATAGTAAATTTTAAAAAAGTCTGTAGGTCTATACTATAGAATTTGAACAACTTTTTCATTTATAACTTTATGGCTAATGATTCATGATTGATAATTGTCTTTTTAGGCCTAATTGTAATTGATAGACAAAAAGACATAATTTTACAGTCCCCTTTGAGAATATACCATACATATTACTAATTTGACCTAGGGCCTATTAAATTAACATTGCATTGTCATTAGCCTGTCGTATAGGGCCTATAACCTACATTTTAAAGCCAAATGAGCAATGTGAATGCTGACTAATGCAGTGTTTAAATAAAGCGTACAGATAGACCTAAGAATTTAATTAAATTTTCAAACTCAATTTGGAAAATAAAGTTGCAAATAAATGGCAGGTTAACAAAGTAATTTCTTTAAAAAAAAATTAGAAAACATTAGGCTTGTCTTCTGTAATTTGGTAATTTTTAAAAAGTGGTTTCACTGTGGCCTATAAAAACAAAAATTAGATGCAATTCCAAATTGACTACATTTTGGCCTTTAAAAAATTGAAGTTTTAATTCAGTTGTGTCATTAATAGGCAAATTTATTGGTTGCGTAAATTGAATTCTGTTTTTAGGGTAATCAAACATTGCTAAGTATCTAAATTAGAATAGTTATAACATTTAAATGCTTTCAGCTTAATTATCTTAATTAAGAGAATTGAAAAAGTTAGAAATAGGCCTACATCTTTAAAGAAAAACTATTTTCCTTTTAAGGACTGGCAGCCACCTTTTGCTGTAAATGTGGAAACTTTCAGATTCACACCAAGGATACAAAAGTTAAATGAATTAGAGGTTAGCTATTTCCTTTTCAAAATGTCTTCTGTTATAGATCTACTTACCTTTAGAATAAACTTCAGTAGCTGAATAAAGTAAATATGATTCCTCAGCTGTATTATACTTGAATTCAGTCAGATGTAACATGTTAAATTTCAGGCTCATTCTAGGATTAAACTTAATTTCTTTGATTGCTTATACAAGTTTTGGGATCTTCAGGTAAGACATTCATCTATTTTGTTTCTCTATAACTTTTGCCTTTGGACTCAGCTTTATCATTGTAAATAGTTTAGTGGGCTTTTAAAGAACAAAATTTACAGTTATAAAGCATCACAATTGTTTTTCTGTATCAATCATAACTCTCTCTCTCTATATATATATATTTATGTGGGTGTGTTTTTCTAAATGATCCCTTAATCTTGGATTATATGTTTATTATGCTGTAGGGATGCACATTGAAAATTCCTACAGTGGAGAGGAAGATTTTGGACCTGTACAAACTTTTCAAGGTATGGGTCTTCTTGCAGTTTTAGATAGTTTAAATAAATTATTTGAATTGTGGATTCTTTTCTGGAAATTCGTGGATAAGACTAAGACTGATAAATTGTGTTTTTGAATTGAGTGAAGGTTGTGGAAATATTCAGTTGTGGTGAAAAAAAAAGGTTAAATATTTGAAGTATAAGTAATTTGTGGTTTAGTCTGTGTTTTCCATTGGCCAGAGGGTAAGTGCACACATTTTCTCCCTCTTTTACCTGTTCATTAACAGGCTTTGCTGTAGGTTTATACATTTTTATAGAATAGGGCCATATTAATACTTTTTTTAATAATTTAATTTCTATATTTGAAATTAGGATCATACGATTTGATCATTTCACCCCTACTGTGCCCTTTCGCGTCCTAGATTCTATATTGCCTCTAAAAGCTAGGCGTAGTAAAATGACGTCAGGATGCCCCCCCCCCTCCCCCCATAGAAAATAGCCATAGCCATACTTTTGAAAGTACATTGGTTTTTATCATTTTAATTTTAGGAAATATAAAATGTTCGTCTCGAAACATTTTTCTCTCCTCTCCCCCCCCCCCCTCCCGTGTACCTAGCAATTGTCACGAAGTCAGAACTTTCCACCCACCATAGGCGCGTGACGTCATTTATGGGCGATCTTTTTTTTCCCCTAGGAAGGTTACATTTTTAATGTCAAAATAGTTTTTTTTAATAGCTTTAGTCTAATTCTTTTTATTTAAAATTTGTGTTAGCTTTTTTTTCTCAAAAGAAAATAGATTCCGATCAAATACATTAGTTAGGAATAATTTTAAGTTGCATACGTAAAATAACCTTCTCATCACTGCTCTTGAAAGCGATGTTCATGAATTTTGGTTTCCTTTGTTTGACTATCTAAATTAATCTGGATCTAGAGTCTAGATGTACTAGTATATTTTATTTGGATCTAAGTAGTTAAAAAAAACATTTTGTTTTTCCTCTAATGGGTCATTTCGATGAGCTAGTGTTTTCAAAATGGCCGCAAATGTCACCATTACTTGGTTGAGAGCATTTGGTAATGCTCACGATTTTATGTCAAGAGTTCTCACTTTATATGCAATAAGGAACTAATACTACGCGACAGTGTGCATCAAATGTCGTTTTAACTCGCTTTAGATAATGGCGCTTATTGATTTGTTGATCATGGCAAGTTAAAAGTAGAACAACATTCGTTTGCCAGACTCTATATGGGAACAAAGAAACCTTCGCCTCACTTGCGCACTGGCTCTATGCTTTACCTTATTACGTCCCCTTTCCATATGACGTCAATTAAAAAATTCAATGCCTAGGCCCTTCGCTAAAAAAAATAATTAATTGTCCTTGGGGAGGGGTGGTAAATAAGAAATCAAACGTAAAGGAGAGAATGAGAGAATTATAGTGGACAGCATGCCCGCTTAGTTTTTATTTTGTCATCTCTGAGCCCTATCGAAAAAATCGCACATGCCCCGCCCCCTCCCCTCCATCCCCACGTATCACGTCTGTTGCGTTATTTTGACATAGATTGGGTAAACGGGCTCTGTTATTCATAGGCCTACTAAGTTTTAGTTTGGACAATACATTGGATTGTTACAATATGATTTCACATAGCTGCGTATCCCCCTCTCCCTTCTATTCATATTTCTTTTGCTAAGAACTTAACTATTCTATGCTTTTAAACTGTTTAAAGCTACATGTATTGTTTCTGCAAATTCTGCCTATTCCATATGTAGGCCTACTTATTTTTATTTATCTGAAAAGAAATGCTTTGACATTGTTATGAACACACTTTTTTAATGAGCTTATATCCAAACCATGCCAATTCTATTAGTATTATAGAAAATAAGCTTTTTTATTCCAGACTGTGGAAGAAGAAGGTGGTATGGAACTTTTGAACAGAGAAAGGGGCTGGTCACGTGTTGCTATTAAAATGGGCTACCCTTATGGCAGAGGAGTAGGAGGCACACTTAAGCACCACTATGAGCGCATACTTTTTCCCTTTTATCTATTCAAAAAAGGAGAAACTGTCAAATTCATTCCAGAGGTATAAAATTCAAGCTTTTGAACTGAGCTTTAAGAAAAAAATGATATTCTAAAGTATCCAAGTAATTTGATACTTACTTTTCTAGTCTTTAAGTTTGGAATATTGATTACATCTTTAATGAGCATTGCTAATTTTATTTCAGATTTGAGTTAGTTGTATAAACCAACATTACCCCCAATTTTTTTTTACTTGTAGCAAAAACCTGCAATCCCTGATGAAATAGATAAATCTGACAAGGATTACAAACCTCACTGGAAGATGAGTGCAGACAAGGATAAGAACAGAAAATCAAAACGGGCTGTTAAAGAGGTTTGTGAGTCAGATGTGACTTTTTGTTTCTGTTCCCAGAGTTGAGTTTTGTTTTACAGTTGGACAAACCAGGCTTTGCTAGACTGCAAAATTGTATCTAGAAACATCAGCACAGAATCACGGGTTTGGCTAATTGACTGCACTGGTTACAATTCCTAGGTACAAATAGTATCTATTTATTACATGGCAGTTCACTGAAATATGTAAAGCAAAACCTGGTTGGTTATAGTTCCTAACAAACGTTAGCAGCTGACCTTTTACCCCTTCACTTCATCTAATAAAGAAAGCACAAATATTAAGGCAAACTATTCATGATTCATATTGAGACAAAAGGTATAAATTTTCTAATATTTCCTCAATTGGGCTGTTTCAGAGCCCTTCTCCTTCAATTGAGGAATACGAGTGCTTGATAAGAAAGGTCAGCAATTTTATAATTATCTTAACAGTTAATTTTCAGACTTTTTGATTACTTTTTAAAAAGATGTTTGTTTGCAATTAACATAAAAAAGTTCAAATTAACACAAAATAATCACAATGATCCAATTCTTGCTTTCATGTATACCGTCATTACCAGTTATTTGTTTTATCCTTGGTGTAAGTATTTTGTGTCAAACACTTAAGCCATGTTGATTATTCTGTCAACCTCATGGTTTATTTCTTCCCTAATTCAAAGATTATGTTGCCCTCAACCACATTTTTGTTTGATCCATTTTTTTCCCCAGAATCAAAAGGAAGCACATAATGTTCATGTATTTTTTTAAAATACTGATATCCTTTGATTATAAATATTGTTACATGTTATCTTTTGTAACATTTTTCAGGATCCTGACATTGACTATAGCAAAAATAGTGAACTGAAGAAATTGCAATTCTATGGAGCAGGTCCTAAAGCTGCTGTCCCAGGCTCTAAAGGTTTGTGAACTTTGTATTTGCTATGTTTGTGACAGGGTCTAAAGGTTTGTGAACTTTGTATTTGCTATGTTTGTGACAGGCTCTAAAGGTTTGTGAACTTTGTATTTGCTATGTTTGTGACAGGGTCTAAAGGTTTGTGAACTTTGTATTTGCTATGTTTGTGACAGGCTCTAAAGGTTTGTGAACTTTGTATTTGCTATGTTTGTGACAGGGTCTAAAGGTTTGTGAACTTTGTATTTGCTATGTTTGTGACAGGCTCTAAAGGTTTGTGAACTTTGTATTTGCTATGTTTGTGACAGGGTCTAAAGGTTTGTGAACTTTGTATTTGCTATGTTTGTGACAGGGTCTAAAGGTTTGTGAACTTTGTATTTGCTATGTTTGTGACAGGCTCTAAAGGTTTGTGAACTTTGTATTTGCTATGTTTGTGACAGGCTCTAAAGGTTTGTGAACTTTGTATTTGCTATGTTTGTGACAGGGTCTAAAGGTTTGTGAACTTTGTATTTGCTATGTTTGTGACAGGGTCTAAAGGTTTGTGAACTTTGTATTTGCTATGTTTGTGACAGGCTCTAAAGGTTTGTGAACTTTGTATTTGCTATGTTTGTTGCAGGCTCTAAAGGTTTGTGAACTTTGTATTTGCTATGTTTGTGACAGGGTCTAAAGGTTTGTGAACTTTGTATTTGCTATGTTTGTGACAGGGTCTAAAGGTTTGTGAACTTTGTATTTGCTATGTTTGTGACAGGCTCTAAAGGTTTGTGAACTTTGTATTTGCTATGTTTGTGACAGAAGTATAATTATTTTAATAGTTTAATAACAAATACATGTATAAAATTCTTTCAGTTAATCATCTTACATTATTTATAAGCAAATCATCATCCATAGCAAAAGCTAGATTATTTTAACATACTGAAGGAGTTTTGTTAAAACCATCATATAGCGAATTCTATAAACATGTTTACTGAGTTTTGATTAAACAGGTGCCAGAGAAATAATATTTTACATGCATTCTTGAATTATTGTATAATCATTATTATGAAAAACAGTTGAATCTAAAATTAAATTAATTTTATATTAACAGATGATCCTGATTTTAAACCTGATGAAAAGGGAGATAACCGTAAAAGCAGAATGAAGATGTCCATACCTGGTGCTTACTCTGGAGTAAGTTTTTTTTCTTCCATATAAGCACTCCAATTTTTAAAATGCTATGTAATTTATATTTTTATGTGCTAATTATTTTCTTCCAGTTTTTTTGTTTGGGCTTAGTTAATGTAAGTTGTTTGATTAACCTACTTTTAAATAGTGCCATCTGTTTAAATGATGCGCTAGAATGAATGATTTGATGAACATCATCCCCATTTAGGCAGACAAGTATTATTGTCATATGTGTGGTCGGGGGGATGGGGAGGAGCAAATGTTATTGTGTGATGGATGTGATGATGCTTTCCACACCTACTGCCTTGTTCCCCCATTGGCTGAGGTACCCAAGGGTGATTGGAGGTGTCCCTCTTGTGTTAAACAGGTGAGTTCTATGTTGGGTTTATTTATTGTTCCTTACATTTTTTGTAGCTAACCCAACTAAAGCAGTCAAAAGTTATTGTTTACATGGAGATATAATTTTTTGCCATTTTTGTGACCAGATAACTAAAATAAATACTTTCTAACAATACAGGCCTGTAGTAAACCCCTTGAGCCCTATGGGTTTGATCAGAGTAAAAGGGATTACACATTACAGTCTTTTGGTGAAATGGCAGATCATTTTAAAGCATCTTACTTTAAAATGCCAGTTCATGTAAGTTGTTCTGTACTCTGTATTTAAACATGTTTACTTCCATTTTTTTGTATTTCCAAATGACTTTTAACTTTGCTAAAAGCTAATAAGAATTTTGAAATAAATTCTTAACTTATAATGCTGTGTTGGGCTCAAATTGAGAAGACATCTGAGAGTCCACCTGACTCATACTAGGGAAAGTAAAAGCATAGTGATGAAAACTATCCCTTATGCCAGAGTCACAGGCACAGGTAAACTACTTCACCAGCCCCATGGACTGTCCTGTTTAAAAGGGTAGCTTTACTTACTGCTGTGTGAGTTATTTAGTAATTAAGACATTCAAGATGTTGACTATATAAAATATCTTGTTTATCAATGCTCAAGATGACAAGGATTAGACCTCCTCCCATTTTTCCCTCCCCCCTCCCCCAAATCAAATTTGTGTTAAAATATTTACATGTTCTGTACTTTTAGAAGGTGACAACAAGCCAAGTGGAGAGGGAGTTTTGGAGACTGGTTAACAGCTTGGAGGAAAATGTAATGGTGCAATATGGTGCAGATATTCATGCTATGGAAATGGGAAGTGGTTTTCCTACAAAAAATACTGAAGATTTGCTACCAGAAGATGAGGTATTTTTTACAAGCTTTTATTGAACTTAATTCTTTGTATCTGCTTAATGTTTGCTTTTGCTTCATCATGAGTGGAGTCCTCCTGTAATAAAAGTTTATAAAACAAACTTTTATATATACACTAAAAAGAAGAAAATAAGATAACTATACATAAAAATAAAATAGTGGGTATATATGTTTTGTTTTCCATAATATTTTTTATATTAAGCAGAAAGTTCCATGTGTTTATTTTGTAATAATAAGAGAATATTTTTACCATTATGCCTTGATGGATTTACAACAAAATGGCGTAGGCCTATAAATCTCAATATTAAAAAAAGGCAAAGTAATATTTTTATTAAATATATATTTCTGTCAGGATGTAGGTTATAAGAATATAATTGTATAGGAGATGTTTATATTTAGAGAAAAACTACACATCTCCAAACCTTTCCTTTCACTACACCTTGCAGTAACCCATGCTTTTTTAATATCAATATCTAGTTGTCCTTTTAATTACTTCTCTTCAGTGCATATGTAAAATCTTGTAATGGTTAAAATTTATTATTTTCTCCCCTCAAGTTGAGGATAGTACTTATTGTAGTTCTAAATTTAAGTATGTATTAAAACACTTTTAACCCTGAAAGCGCGCCAAGCCACGATCGTGTCTTTTCTGTTACATAACTTACAATGCATAAGGCCACCTGGCGCGCACTTTAAGGGTTAAAGCATGGGTACCCAGCATTTGATTAGATGTCTCTGTTTCAGGAATATGTGACATCAGGCTGGAACCTGAACAACCTCCCAGTGTTGGAACAGTCAGTGTTGTGTCATATCAATGCTGATATATCTGGCATGAAAGTGCCATGGTGTTATGTGGGCATGTGTTTTTCCAGCTTTTGTTGGCACATTGAAGATCATTGGAGCTATTCTATCAACTATTTGCATTGGTTAGTGCCTTTTTGAGTAAATTGTAATTATTCTACTCGTGATTGCTATTTTAAAGATGTACTGAGTCTAATAAACTCAATGAGTATTTTGAAGGTAGGATATATTTGTTGATCTACTAGGGGGGAGCCCAAGTCTTGGTATGGAGTTCCTGGTGCTGATGCTACAAAATTTGAAGATGCCATGAGAGAAACTGCTCCTGAACTGTTTGAACAAGCACCAGATCTGCTGCACCAGTTGACTACCATCATGAACCCAAATATTCTAATGGATAAAGGAGTTAGAGTAAGTCATTTTGCCATTCTAGCATGTCTCATCTTGTTGCTTTGACTTCTTTGAGGTTTTATACATTGATTCCTTATAAATTTGGCAGATTTTTCGTACGGATCAGTGTGCAGGAGAATTTGTTGTAACTTTCCCTCGAGCTTATCATGCTGGCTTTAATCAAGGCTACAATTTTGCTGAAGCTGTCAATTTCTGTCCTGCAGATTGGGTATGTTTCATTGTACCGTTATTATCCTGGAATTGTCGACATCAAAAATATTTTTTACTACCCTTGATTTGAACTAAACTGTTGTTTTTTTTACAGCTTCCTATAGGTAGAGCATGCATAGAACACTATCGTTTGCTGCACAGACAGTGTGTGTTCTCTCATGAGGAACTTATATGTAAAATGGCAGCAGATCCAGATAGCCTTGATTTAACCCTGGCAGCTGCTACTCATGCTGATATGCTTTCCATGGTAGAAGAGGAAAGAGATCTCAGAAAAGCTTTACTAGAAAGGGTTAGAATCACTTTCTGTCCTTTTAAAAATTTGCTTATTGAGATTTTTGTAACTTAATAAAGTACTAGCAAAGAAATACGTCTTACTAAAACTGTATAAGAATGTCACATTATGATTTCTTTCTTCTTTACTTGTTGCACTGGCAGAATTATTCAGTCTACAAAAGATTTTAACACATACATTTTTTATTTAAAAGGGTACACTAAATGCTGAAAGGGAAGCATTTGAACTACTCCCAGATGATGAGCGCCAGTGTGATGTGTGCAAGACAACTTGCTTTCTTTCTTCAGTTACTTGTCCTTGTCAGCCAAGTATGTTTTACCTCATTTATGTTGCATTGAAATATTTTATTAGTCTGTTGTGCTGTACTTGTTTGTAAGACCTGGTACAAAAGAGGTGCTGACTCAGTCTGTTTCCTTTCTTTCAGGTCGTCTGGTGTGCTTGTATCATGTAGAGGAGTTGTGCGACTGTTCTCCCACCCGGCATGTCTTGCGCTACCGCTACACCTTGGATGAGCTGCCCAGTATGTTACATCGCCTGAAGGTCAGGGCCGAGTCGTATGATAACTGGATTCTGGTTGTGAAAACTGCTTTAGATGCCACGGGTGACAACAAATTAGGTGAGATTTTACACTTATAAGCGAGTCAAATTGGGGTAAAGATATATTAAACTCACATTTTAGTCAGCCAGGTAGTTGAATAACATGAGAAGAGAATTGTAATGCAAGCAATGTTTCCATCAACAGAATTGAATGAACTAAAAAATCTAATAACTGAAGCTGAAGAGAAAAAGTTTCCTGAATCAGACCTGCTGCAGACGCTGATCAATGCTGTCACTGAGGCAGAGAAATGTTCTAATGTGGCTAATCAACTGGTCAGCAAGAAAGTTAGAACAAGGTTTGTATTCACTGCTGACTTGATTTTACTTTGATTTGGTCACCTAATATCTCACACATTGCCATGTTTTCTCTGTGCTAATTAACACAAATTTATTTTAGAAATCGACAGTCCATTGAAGGTAAATATGTGGCTAAATTAACCCTTGATGAATTGAACTGCTTTTTTGAACAAGTAAATGGACTTCCATGTATCATTAAAGAAACCAAACTAATTAAAGTAAGTTGATTCATGCTATCTCTAGCTTGTTTATTAAAGAAATATTTACATAAAAAGAGTTTATTATTTTATGCAAAAATGCAATCATCTATTTCAGGAGTTGTTAGATAAAGTTGTAGAATTCCGTGAAGAAGCCCAAGATGCCTTAGATGCAGAGACACCAGACTCTGAACAAGTGGAGACTCTTATAGAAATAGGCATTAGCCTAGATGTTGATCTGCCAGAAATACCAAAGCTAAAACAGGTCTGAAGTAAAAACTGTCATTGTTATACATTTAGATCTACTACTTTTAATGGATTTATTTCTTACACTTGTTTTTATATATATACATAAAGAACAGGGGATCTCCTGAGAACTGTTTAGTTACTTATTTTGCAAATGTGGATAATTATTTTTACGTAAGTGGATAATTTTTTAAAAAGTTGTCCTAATAAATATTTTTAAAGTAATCCTGAGAAACCATCTTTAAAATGTTAACCAGGTACTGCAACAAGCACGCTGGCTTGATAATGTTCGTCTGTCTATGAAAGATGCCAGCTCAGTGACTTTAGACATGATGAGGAAGCTGATAGAATCTGGTGTAAGTCTTGCACCACACCCTGCTGTAGAAAAAGCCATGGCAGAACTCCAGGAACTGTTGACTGTCAGTGAGAGATGGGAAGAGAAGGCCAGAATATGTTTACAAGCAAGGTCTGTTACCATTGGTCATTACGTCAGTTATTGCACTAATTCTCTTGTGCTGACTCTTTATTAACATTTTATTTTTTGCCTTTAGACCTCGCCATTTGTTGACAACACTTGAAGCAATCATTGCTGAAGCAAGAAACATTCCCGCACATCTCCCAAACATTGCATCACTTAGAGAAGCTGTGAAAAAGGCCAAGGAGTGGATCCAGAAGGTTGGCTTTGATTGTGTGCATATTTAACTCTTTCTTTTATAGTAATAACTGGTTCTTTATGCTTTATAGAAAAGTGGGAACAATTTGATGTTGAGTAGAAATTAGTTAGTTGCTTCCCCTGAAAAAGCAAAAACAAGTTTGTACAAAAATAACCTCCACTATTTCTGGCAGTAATTGATTTATCTTTGTTTTAGCTACAAACTTTCCATTTTTTATAATGTAAACACTAGGTTGAAGCTATACAAAGTGTGGAGCAGTATGCCTATCTGGAGGTGTTAGAAGGACTTGTGGCTAAAGGGCGACCTATTCCTGTTAGACTGGATCAGTTGCCACAATTAGAATCACAGGTAGCAGCAGCCAAGTCATGGAAGGAGAGGACTGCCCGCACTTTCCTCAAGAAAAACTCTTCCTTTACATTATTAGAGGTTTGTTGACACTCAACTCATATTTTTACTACAGCTACTTGGGTATCCTGTTCATCTTCTTCGTTCATTGTTTGTGAAATATATTTTTGCTGTTTATATAAATTTCAATTCTTTTCACTAGATTTTATCGCCAAGGAATGATATAGGCATCTATAATGGTGGGCGTTGCAAGAAAAAGCGTTTAAAAGATGCTGATAAAAAAGAAAGTGATGGTGCTCTGGACTATGCTAGTGATGACAGTAGAAACTCTGGCGTGGTGATTACAATTTTGTTTATTTTAGTTAAGATACAACATAGATCTTATGTTTGCATGTCATTCTTTCCTCTCAGGTACCCTTTATTTTATAGTAACATTTTTTTTTCTCTTGGCTTATCCCAGTCCATTCTTACTCAGGTAGCAGCATTTAAGATGGGGGAGGTTAAAGAAGTGGAGATGATGAGAGACCTACGCACACGCAACATGGAGAAGCGCCATGACACTGATGCTAAATTTTGTGTGTGCAGGAAACCTGCATCTGGTTTTATGTTACAGTGTGAACTTTGCAAAGATTGGTTTCATGGTCAGTTGTTTAGGTTTTGTCAGTACTTAACAGCCAACTTTATTTTCATTACTGAGTACTTTGACTAGTTGACCACTGTTCTAGCCCTGCAACTTTTACCCTAGCTGAACATTTGTTTGATTCTCACACTTGAATTTGTTTCAGGAACATGTGTCTCATTTCCTAAGTCAGCCAGCATTAAAAATAAAACATCGCAAGCAGCAATTATGCAGGTGAGTCTACTTATAAAACTTGGGACAGTCTTTGGGTACTGTTGTATCAGTCTGGTTCATCTTTTCTATGTTTCTCTCTAGGCAACAAAGGAAATGAAGTTTTTGTGCCCTTTGTGCCTAAGATCTCGTCGCCCACGTCTTGAAACAATCTTATCACTGCTGGTGTCATTGCAAAAACTGCCAGTAAGAATGTCAGAAGGAGAAGCATTGCAGTGTCTTACAGAGAGAGCCATGGCATGGCAGGTAAGACTTTTATAATTGCTTGTCTTCTTAGTACTCCCAGTTGCTAGATTCACATCAGTAGTAAAGTTAAGCACTAAATTCACATCAATAGTGAAGTTAATTGCACCTTTTCTTTTCTCTCCCTGCAGGATCGAGCAAGACAAGTCCTAACAACCACAGATATGGCATCCGCAATGGCTCAGCTCAGTGTGATGAGTCAACGAATGGTTGAACAGGCAGCTCGGGAAAAAACTGAAAAGATTATAAATGCTGAGCTTCAGAAGGCTGCCAATAATCCTGAATTACAGCCTCACCTTGCCTCTGTCACACAGAGTGCTTTTGGCAATAGAGACAGTTCCAGTATGTCTTTGCTACATCATGGAGACATAGACTTTGATAGGTGGGCAGCTAAACATCATCATTCCTACCCTGAAGATGATGGTCACAGAGAGGCCAGTATAGGAGTCAACCTGGATGCTCCTCTCTCCCCAACCCCAGGGGACATGTCACCATTGTCCCAGACTTTAGTCCCTGCTCCTAACCCCATGTCTCAAGATATTGGCGCTGAGATTGACATTTCATCTGTGGCTTCTCTTGGGATGTCATCAGAACACGCTTACTCATCTGTCTCTAAAGGAATGTCCAGTAAGTTGGTTCAAATGGTTAGTTGACCCTACTTGTTTTAGTTCAGACATTTATCTAAAACTTTCATTACAATTTTTTACTCTAAAAGATGGCTCGCCTCGTAAAAATCTTCGCAAGTCACCTCTAGTACCTCGCACTTGTGAGATCCCTTTACTGGATGTAGCAGAAACTAAGAGAGCTCAGCTTGAAGAGCTGATGATGGAAGGAGATTTGCTTGAGGTGTCTTTAGATGAAACACAGCATATCTGGCGCATTTTGCAGGCCTGTTACACTCGCACAGAGCCTAACAGATATTCAGATGTAGAGGTTTGTTTTGTTTGTTTTCTATTTTTAATTAATAGAAATAGTTAATACTACTTTTTAAATTGTATATTAAGTGTGTTGTATGAGGTTGTTAGAATATAAAATATGTTTGCTTATTTCTAATTAGGCTTCTGGACAGACTGGTTTTGAAAAAAACAGAGAGAAAAAAGAGCTTAAGAAGAAAGATAAAGATGGTTTGATGAAAATAAAAGAAAAAATGAAGAGAAAAAAGAACATGGGGGAGAACAGACTTAGTGATTTAATGATTAAGAGGATCAAAGTGGAAAATGGGGTTGAGACAATACTCAAGAAAAAGAAATTCCAAAAAAAGAAAGATTTATTGAATGAGAACAAGGATGGCATAAAAGGTGTGTTAAAAATTCAAAGCTTATTTATTTTTTAAAATGTGTTTTCCACCAAATTTCTATACATTTAAGTACTAATATATTTAGTATATTAACAGTATTTGTTAAACGTATTTGTTAAGCACTACATATACATAAAATAAAAAAATATCTAAAAAATATGAAGCCTTTTGTTATACAATAATTTTTAGGAAAACTGAAGGATTCTGGAGACTCAGGCACAACAAATCCAGATGGAAAGCCTAAAATGAAGAAAAAGAAAAAACTTCTTACAAAAGGTAGTGCAGTACAAAGCGCCCCAGCAGAGCCAGGAAGTAACTCAGCACCTGTTGAAACTGTTGAAGGTTCAGGGGCTACAGCTGTTGGAACTGCAGAAAATACAAAACCCAAAGAGCGGCGCCCAAAAGTAAAGAGAGAGCGAAAGGTCAAAGAAGAGCTTGTTATGATGGATGACAGTGATGATAATGATAACGATGAAGATTGTTCAGCCTTTAAGTGCTTGAGACCTACAGGTATTTTTTGTTTTTAATTTATTGTTATTAGTAATTCTAAATTTAATTTTTTTAACCTTAGGTCACATTATTTACATTTTTCAAATAAAATTTTTACTTGAACTATGTCACATTATTTACATTTTGAAATGACCTTTTTATTTGAACTAGGTGAAGCAGTAAACTGGGTACAGTGTGACCGTTGTGAGCTGTGGTTTCATCTCTTATGTGTTGGGCTCAAGAAAGAAGAGGTACGGGATGAAGAAGACTATGTATGCTTTAGTTGTCGTGAGGGGAGCAGTGTGGCCCTGGTGGGATCTCCAGCAAAAACAGGCTCCAGTGATGCCACCATTGAAGCAGACAAAATCAAGAAAGAACCAAAAGAAAATCTGTTTGACTCCAGTCCACCATGTTCTCCCAGTGTGCGTGCAGCTGCTGACAAAGCAATATCAGATGTTGTGGAAGCTGTGGCTGCCAGCTCCAAAGAGAGGCGTTTGGAAGCTGAAAAAAGAGTGGAGGCAGTTGAGTCGATGATGCAGTTAGAGAAGGGGATCCCTAGCTCAGTGCAGGAAACACCCGCAGTGTCTGAGGGTAAAAGTGAAGGGGTTGACCAGGCATCAGAGTCTAAAGCTGAAGATGAGGATGTTGTGGTCATTGCTACTAGTCAGCAGGAGGAAATTGAGATTGATGATGATGAAGATGAGAAAGTGGATAAAAATGAAGAAGTTGAAGATATTGAGGAGGAAGAGGAAGAAGAAGAAATAGATGAGGATGGTGAGGAGGGAGAAGAAGAAGAAATTGATGAAGAATGTGATGCTGAAGAAGATGAAGAAGAGGAGGAAGAAGATGAGGAAATGGGGGAAGTGGAAGAGAAAGCTGTGCATGTTGAAGAGTGTGATGATGTCACAGAGACGGCCGAGGAATCCGAGCAAGAAGATATTGAGGTGGAGAAGTCAGAAGAAAATCAGCTTGTAACACAGACTGAAAGCAATGTCCTCTTGGACAATTCCTGACAATGCCAAAGCTTCAGTCTTGTGGTATGATGTGAGTGGCTGGCTGTGTAAGTGAATTATTTGTAGCTGTTTTTTCTAGACCATGATGAAAAAACTTCTAATGAATTATCTTTCTTTTGTCACAATTATTTGCAATAAAAAAATTGTTCAGTACATTGGTTTATAATAACAATAATGTATATAACTGAAAAGTAAATTTTGTTCTAATGTATATATTGATTCTGAAATTATTTTCTTAAGTTATGTTATTGTTTGCCAGATGTATACCTTAAAAATTAATGTTTGCACAAAACCAGATATATCTATTTGGATCTTTTTTAAAAAAAGGTATCTCCCACCTTTGATTAAATCTGAAACAAAGTGTTTCTGTAGATGAGCTAGAAAGGTGAATGGTTCTCTGCTTAGGCTTCCTCCTTGTGGTGAAAGATCTCTGGAGGTCATTAAATACTATTGGTAGAAACTACATTGATAACAGCTGTAGCTGTCTACCCTAGTAAACTGTGATACAGTTTAAACATATTTATTTTTATGTTAGCAAAATACCAATATGTTATCCATTAATATCTGAATATCAGGAAATCATATAATAGCATTGATTAGTGTTAACCATAAGTAAAATTGACTAATGTTTCATAGAGTTACATTTAATTTATTTATATAACTACTTATTTGTTAGTTTTGTTATTTGTAAGCTATTGGCGTGTGAATCATGTTTACACCAAACGTGAACAGTTATCAATTTGTGTTTATCGGTACATACTTTTCAACCAGTTTTTTTATACAACCAACATCACCTTGTGTCAACATGATTATTGTTAATATAATACACTTCATTTTCTTCTTGCATCATATATTTAAAATACTTGTAAATAAATTAATTTTATTAGTATATAAGAAATATCTCTAGTAAAAATGATTTGAAGTGATGCGTTTAGTTATGAAAATATAATTTGGTTTGGACACAAGGGTGATTGTATTCCCTCCTGTATGTAAGTTTGTGTTATTTGTTGTAATTTTTTTTCTAAAATAATGTATTGTCAGCTTTATAAATAGCCATTAATGTGACATTTATCTTAGTCGATTAATGTACAATCCCAGATTTGAGTGTTCATTGATTTCTGATCTTCCTATCCAAGCCAACGCAGCAGCTAATGAGAGATTTTTTTTAGCATCACATGCTTGTGCCCATCATTTCATCCAACAGATCTAACCATTCAAAAATGTTTAACAATATTTTGTTGTTGATCTTCAGATTATTGAAAAAATATTGATAATAAAATACTTATTAGTTTAGAAAAGTGTTTTGATATTTTTTTTTAGTTAAACAATTATGAAATAACAGGATGGAAATGTGCAGTTGATGTCATCCATTATTGACCATGAATTTTTATAAGGTTTGGTCCACTGAACTTGTAAACTTTTTGTGCAGTGTTATAAAAATAAAGTATACATTTTTTGTTTTAGGTTTAATCAATTCATTGCTGTTTTGTTGCTTGGGGTCATTAGGAAATTAAAAATAACTAGTTGCTCTTTTCAAATTTTATTCCATTAAATTTTTAATTCACACACATTTTTTTTAAATACACAAAAAATAAGTTAGCTAATGCAGACTAAATCTACAGCTAGAACCTCCTTTTTGTTGGCTGTAAAGAAATCATGCATTAAAGAGCAGCTATAAACAGTTATCTGTGAACAAAAATCATGGTGAAGGGTGTTACATTATGTAATTAAGAATCTGTACACATCAATGACTTGGTCAGGTTGGGTGAATTTTTGAATACATAAATATATTAAAATAGTATAGACTATTTTATAAAAGCAGTGCTTTCTTTACTTTATAAAAGTATGCAAGTGTAGTTGTAATAAAACTGCTATGAGTTACTACAGAAGAAATCTAGCTGTGAAGTTATCACATGTTACCATGTTTGACTGGCTAGTTGACACAGAATACTGGTGAGTCTAGTAACACTATTTGTGGAAGACATTGCAGTAAAAAAAAAAGTCCTGGTGAGATGTAATAGGTTCATCTGGAATATAAATTCCCTCTTCTGATTAAAAGCATTCACTCTGACCTTTATGTTGGATGATTCCCATTTGTTCCAATACTGACAAATACAATAACCAGGGATATAATTTTCTTTACTTCATGAACCTGTTTCTATTACTGGATTGAAACTAGGCCTACATTTTCTACAAATCATTTACCATCACAAATAAACTTAGTATTGATTCTTCATTGGAACACTACTACCAAATGCAGATATCTTGAATGAAAGCAGTTTCAAATAGTTTAATACAAATACAACAATGTCCCACAACTACAACTGTAATTGGCTGTATAAATTACCCCAAACTGAAATAAACCCAAACCATCCAGAACAGTCAACAACTGAGATTTGCACACTGGAAGAGTTCAAATAAAATTTACTTTTCCCCAATTACAGAACACTCAAACATATTCAGATTCCTATTCATGCTTCAACATTTCAAGTTGCAACAAAAGTAATAAAAAGAATCAATACATTCTGTTATGTGTTGTGATTTAAAACACTTTCTCTCATATACACTGATACTTGATTAGTAAAATAGATTCATGAAAGTAAAATTGTTAACATGTTTATAAAATTTGCAACTAGTAAATAAAATTCTAACAAATTACATACCCTTCAAGTGTTAGTGCCAGCAACAAGTCGCAGTTATTTTTTTTACCATAAATAAAATCAGTTTCATATATATATATCTTGAAAAATTAAATATATATACAGTAAAATGTGTACAATAAACTAATGAGCTTTTCTTTAAGGGTAGTCTAGAGAGTAACCAAGTCATCTATTAAATTTCACTTTTGTAACTAGTATTACATCATCTTTTGTGATGGGCTGGTGATTTCCTTGAGTGGCTCTACACGAGCTAGCAGACTACATTATTGACCTAGGTGAGCTCTACTAGATGGGTGGTTAAGCCAGGGGCACTCACCCTGTTTGCATAAATGTGTAAATCTGTCTTGACTATCAAGCTGGAAACAGTCCAATAAATTATTTCCATAGCTCAACAATGGAGCTTCTTTATGGCAACAAAAAATAAATTATGAAAGGAATCAGTTTGGAACTTGACAAAATAAACTTAGAATGAAATCAAATATGAATGGAACTAAATGAGAACTTAGAAAAAAATAAATAGAAAAAACTATTAAATGGAGTTAAATTGGGACTTTACAAAATACGCCTAGAAATAGTCTAAATTCTGAATGGGAAATTTTCCAAATAAAATAAATTGTAATTGGAACCAAAAGGAAACTTATTTAATAAACCTGGAGGGGGGAAAAAAGTGAAAGACTTTGGGTGGTGAACTGAACATAACATTCAACTTTTTAATGACATGCGCCTCATATACACCTCTGACACGGCTAACATAACATTCAACTTTTTAATGACATACGACTCATTTACACCTCTGATACGGCTATTCAATACTTAAAAGTTTCATAGCTTATATGAGCTAGGTATGATATGAAACCACGCTCAACCTGTACAAGTTTTGTGGGGAAGAGGGAACTTGTTTGATTCTTTGATATAATTTAAACAATGAACAGCAAATGTAATAAAGACTTGGTCCTGACAACAACAATGTCTTGTCCTTTTACTACAATTAACTGCCAATTCTAACGAGTCTTGTGTTCAACAATCTGACAGTGATGATGGAGCTGTTTGTTCTGATGATGGGGCACAGCCGAGTAGGAAAGCCCTACACAAGCTGCGGCATAATGTTGGTCCCCAAAAACTTGAGAAAATATCCACGGAAACTTTCATGTGCTGCAATGTTTAGTTCAAGCAGCTAAGACAACTCCAGTCACTGAATTGTGTCCACAGGAACTGGAGCCAAACACCATAATCCATGGCTTCATTTATTGATCCAACAAATTAAAGTCCACATACTATTTTCAGAAGTTTAACCAGTTTGTTAATGTGACCAGCACATCCTTATGCAACCTCTGAATATACATCAAGTCCTCTGTATAGATCACCATCAACATCAGATCCATTTGACACTGATCAAACTTGTGTGCCGTCTGGCAAGCCAGGCCTAAGAACAATGGGAGCTCTTGGTGCTGGCTGGCGCTTGCCACTTCCAGAACTCACAGAGGGCATGGCAGTGGGACTGGGTGTGAACACACCTAGATGGGTGTCACTGCTGGAGCTGCCCACACTACCAGAAGCCTGAAACAAAGAGATCCAGGTTATTACTACAGGTTCTGTTGTTACAACAGGTTCTAGTATTACAGCTACAAAAACTAAGTTCAGTGATGTTTTAATTTTAAAAAAAGATGCTCATGTTAACTGACCATTCCACTGTCCAGAGAGGCTCCACTGCTCCCCCTCTTCATCACAGGATCTGAAATAGAGAGCAGAGTCACACTTTATAGCACTAGTTAAATAATGTTCTAGTTGGACTTGCAACAGGTTCAAGATTTGAGAGAATTTTACAATAATAAAACAAAGTTTCAACTATCAAATTTCTTTTAAAAAGCAATTATGTAGTAGTACTATTCAGATGGAGTTACAACATATATTAGTGATCAATTAATAGCTCATTAATATTTACTTGTAACAATCAAATCAGGGCAACTTATAGTGTAGTAGTTTCAAATTAAATCAAATAAGAGATTAAATAAGATCAAAGTAATCAAACTATAAAAATCAAGAGCATCCAATATCTACCAATTAGCAACATTGCAAATCCAACAAAAAACTAATTCTGATTAAAAAAAGTCTATGCTGAATAACTGAAATTTTGTTAACAGTTGCAAAAATAGATTGAGTGACTTGAAAACAGCTCATTTTTTAAAAATTATCCATTTTTACAGTTTGTGGTTGACCATTCTTCTTAACACTTAATTTAAAAACTTAGCTTACTGATATTTTAAACAGCTATTAAAAGCTTCATGCAACTAATTACAGCGTGAACTAAAAAAACACATAAATGTTACAATTGGTAGTATTCTAATTAATACTTTAAAAATGTACTCTTAATGTTTTCAAGTTATAGAAAAATTTTCCCCAAAGTCCATGTAAGCAATCTCAGAGGTTATTGCACTCATTTAAAATTGGATTTTGATTAAGCTAATTAATCTAATGTAGAACAAATAAATTGCTAATATGATTTAAGAGTTTATATATTGTTTTTATAATCAAAGTGAAAAAGTGTAAAAGTGATTATTTTCCAGTGCAGAAAAGTACCATGAGATAGTGTGTAGTCTGCCAGCAAGTGCAATATTGCAATAGGATTTGCTTCCAGGAGAAATCAAGGGATTATTTTTTTAGTGCCAGTACAGCAAGAAGGGCAATAACTCCAAGTCAGATTTCAATTTAATAAGTTTCTTTCCTACACTATTGAACAGTTTAAAGTTTCAAAATCATCAAGTCACTTCTAGAGCCCCCAGGTGAGTCCCTAACTACTCAGGTGAGTCCCTAACTACTCAGGTGAGTCCCTAACTACTCAGGTGAGTCCCTAACTACTCAGGTGAGTCCCTAACTACTCAGGTGAGTCCCTAACTACTCAGGTGAGTCCCTAACTACTCAGGTGAGTCCCTAACTACTCAGGTGAGTCCCTAACTACTCAGGTGAGTCCCTAACTACTCAGGTGAGTCCCTAACTACTCAGGTGAGTCCCTAACTACTCAGGTGAGTCCCTAACTACTCAGGTGAGTCCCTAACTACTCAGGTGAGTCCCTAACTACTCAGGTGAGTCCCTAACTACTCAGGTGAGTCCCTAACTACTCAGGTGAGTCCCTAACTACTCAGGTGAGTCCCTAACTACTCAGGTGAGTCCCTAACTACTCAGGTGAGTCCCTAACTACTCAGGTGAGTCCCTAACTACTCAGGTGAGTCCCTAACTACTCAGGTGAGTCCCTAACTACTCAGGTGAGTCCCTAACTACTCAGGTGAGTCCCTAACTACTCAGGTGAGTCCCTAACTACTCAGGTGAGTCCCTAACTACTCAGGTGAGTCCCCAGAACACCTAGGTGAGTCCCTAACTACTCAGGTGAGTCCCTAACTACTCAGGTGAGTCCCTAAATACTCAGGTGAGTCCCTAACTACTCAGGTGAGTCCCTAACTACTCAGGTGAGTCCCTAACTACTCAGGTGAGTCCCTAACTACTCAGGTGAGTCCCTAACTACTCAGGTGAGTCCCTAACTACTCAGGTGAGTCCCTAACTACTCAGGTGAGTCCCTAACTACTCAGGTGAGTCCCTAACTACTCAGGTGAGTCCCTAACTACTCAGGTGAGTCCCTAACTACTCAGATGAGTCCCTAACTACTCAGGTGAGTCCCTAAATACTCAGGTGAGTCCCTAAATACTCAGGTGAGTCCCTAAACACCCAGGTGAGTCCCTAAACTCAGGTGAGTCCCTAAACACTCAGGTGAGTCACTAAACACCCAGGTGAGTCCCCAGAACACCTAAGTGAGTCCCTTGAGCCCACAGGCGAGTCCCTAGAACCCCCTAGAACACGTCCCTAAAACATGAAGAGAACTCTAGAACATGAAAAAAATCTCTAGAACAAAAAAATATTGATCTAGAACTAAAGGCTCTGGCTACTAACAACAGTAAAAAGATGAGAGAGCTGACTTGGAGTTGCCACTTGCCTTAGTTGTTAGCAGCATGCATACCTGAGGTGAGGTCAGTCAGTGAGTTGGAGTAGGGAACTTTCTTTAAATTACTACATTCAGGTGCAGACAGGCGATTGTGGGGGTTTTCTGAAGCTTTGACCAGATCGTACGCTAGAACTCTGGAGTCGTCGCATGCGTAGCGCTTGTCCAGTGTATTATGGGTAGTTCTGTGACGAGCCATTTCTTCTTCAATTCTCAATTGTTCCATCCCATTGGTCTGGGAAAAATACATTGAGCAATGATCATTTTATTTTTAAAAATACACAATTTGTTTTGAACTATATTTAGCATAGGTCCTGAGAAAGAAAAAATAAATTCTGACTAGGTTGGTGTGTATGTGTAGACTAAACTTTTACATTGTGACTTGGAAGTTTTGAGTTTGACAAGAAATGAAGCTGACATTACCTCCAGTATGGATTCCTTTAGATCCTCCACAAACTTTTGCCTGTCATGATCATTTCTTGCATTAAATGTAATCAGTGGCTTGCCATCAATGTTGTGTGTCAACTGGATGCCAAACTGATAATCTAATGAGGGAAAACATTATTTCTTTTAGCACTCATCTTGGCCATTTTACTCATATATTACATTTGTAAAACTTGCCACAGAGGTATACAAAAGTAGACATCTTACGTGCAGTTTCAAAGAGGTAGACTTGCATGCCACATAGTGACAAAGAATTTCGGAATGAATATGTGATGCCAGTTTTCTTCTTGCTGAAGATTTTCGTTACCTGAGAAAAAATATTGAATATGAGGTTACAAACTAAACTAAACCATCAGAAACTCAAGTTATAATAAGCCTTCAGGCAGCCATTTTATTGATTTGTTTCACTTAAGAGACTCCTGGAAAAAGTTTTTAACTCACCAGTAACAGATCGTTGAAAAGAAAAACTTCTCTTTGATGGAGGCCAATTTTTTCCTTCTTATTTGGGTCATGAACCTCGTACAGACGACAGTAACACACCAGACGACGGTGGGGCAGGCTTAAAATCTGGGGGAATATATCGTAGTAATGTATTGATAGGGAAGTAAGGTGTAAGGTAAGTAATACAAGTCGCGTCCGTTAGATGGCAGTAAGTCTACAGTATGCAGTACAATGTGAAGGATTCTACATTGAGGGCATCCAAAGGTCAGTCAAGGGCGACCCAAGGTCAGGCCAGGTAAAATGTCTAGAATATTCAAGTATGTAATTCGTCATAGTAGACAGTATAATCGACATCAAAAGAAAAATCTATCTATAGTAGTGTTACAAAATGACCGCAGTGATTGAACAAGGGGGGGGGGAGGAGTGAAAAGGGGGGAGTGAGAAAGGAGGGGGGGGGCATGTCTGAGGGGACATGGTCGAGGTTACAGGTTTCATAACCTTATAGTTTACATTATGGCACCCGCCTTCAGCTAACACATATCTAGAGCTGCCCTTTTATTTCCTGCACTAGACTAGATTGGCATGACGCCAAGTTGGACGGCGCAGGAAGACAGATGGTTACATATGTTGGAAACTGATCGCGTCAAAGTGTAACATACCCCTGTATGTTACCTTCTAACAGAAACTCAGATACAATGGGAAGATAAGGCGGGTCAAACCTTCACACAACTTTTCCGTGGGTCCCATTTTTTCCCCGTGTGTTCCCATAACCCCCGACCGAGCCAGTTAACCCTCTGAGTAGACGCGCTATTAGAGGCGTCCAAACAGAAAACGTACGCATTGTTATTTCAGCTGACGTCACCGCACGCGCCGTCTCCCGCTTCATCTCGAATCTCCCCTCCAGCAGACGTGGAAAATCTGCTGACAAACATATCCACTTTCTCTTTGATAGCGCAGGGCGTCCCACGCATTTCAATATAGCGTGTACGTCCTTCCCACGCATCTCTATAGTGTGTACGTCCTTCCCACGCATCTCTATAGTGTGTACGTCCTTCCCACGCATCTCTATAGCGTGTACGTCATTCCCACGCATCTCTATAGCGTGTACGTCCTTCCCACGCATCTCTATAGCGTGTACGTCATTCCCACGCATCTCTATAGCGTGTACGTCCTTCCCACGCATCTCTATAGCGTGTACGTCCTTCCCACGCATCTCTATAGCGTGTACGTCATTCCCACGCATCTCTATAGCGTGTACGTCCTTCCCACGCATCTCTATAGTGTGTACGTCCTTCCCACGCATCTCTATATAGCGTGTACGTCCTTCCCACGCATCTCTATATAGCGTGTACGTCCTTCCCACGCATCTCTATATAGCGTGTACGTCCTTCCCACGCATTTCAATATAGCGTGTACGTCCTTCCCACGCATTTCAATATAGCGTGTACGTCCTTCCCACGCATCTATATAGAGCGTGTACGTCCTTCCCACGCATCTCTATATAGCGTGTACGTCCTTCCCACGCATCTCTATATATAGCGTGTTATTCGCCTGCATGGCGCTCGCTCAATTAAAACAAACTGCTCTCTTAAAAGTGGATATGATTATTGATCGCTCACAGGACTAAAAGCACAGGCCTAGCGAGGTAGTTACCGCCCCTTGAGTGAATACTGTAATATTGCTTTTTTTTTTCTTTTTATAAACTGACCGACTTTTTACTAATTCAATTTAAAGAACTCTTTCTAAATTAAACATTAAAAGCGAAAAAGCACATTTATTCAAAGACATTTCTGAGCAGGTTTTGACAATTTTAATTTTTCGCTAATTTCCTACTTTAAAAAAAAAAAAAAAAGCTGTTTACACAGCGCCCCCCCCCCCCCCCCCCCCCCCCCCCCCCCATCAACCAGCACTTTCCCATCCCTCTGAAGACAATCATCACAGAAGTTATCCCAATCAATGTTAATGATAAATGTTGCAACTTAAAACTGGAGAGTTGAGTCATTTTGCTTGTCAGTTAGCACTTAATTCCGCCCAAATGGATTGAAAAAACAAACTTACCGGCTTTTTGCCAATGATAGTCTGCTCCACCTTCATGACCTGTGTGACCTGGTCGACCCCGGCCTTGAACTCTTGACTTTTAATCCTCTCATACAAACCCGTCAGTATGTCTCGATCAATATCCTCACCGTCATCAATACCTGTTATCAAAGTAACACAACATCAACAACTCAATAGGACCGATCAATATTTAGAGAATTACCAGCACCATTAAGTCAACACAAATGATACCAACACGATCAGCATCACAATTATATTGTGATTGCCAATCTTGCCAACTTTTAAAACAGTTCCGGTGTGCCTAACAACGCAAACAAAATGATTTATTGATTAAATAAGATTTAATCCTTGTCCGTTTTTTTTCTGAACATGTAAATATTGGCGTCTTAAAATTAAAACATGTGCTAAGCTATTAGTATTAGATCTAGATCTACTAGTTGGCCAAAAAGTAATAAAGAACGTTGTAAGAAAAACAAGGCCAAACTATCATTTCAAGTAAACATTGATTAACTTTAAACTTAATCATAAAGCACCACTGTTTCTTCCAGACTTTTTTCTCCGGGGGGGGGGGGGGGGGACTTGAAATTTTCAGGGGGGGGGGGCGGTAGACTTTCTTCGGGGGGGGGGGGGGGCGGACACTGTTAAAAGTATATCGTTATATTCTAGATTTACAACATAGAGAAATAATTTCTCATAGAGAAAAAAATACAGAACGTGACGGCTGTGTTGATTTTACGGGCTGAGATGATTGGATGGCTCAGCTGCACGTGACCAGGAAAGAATGTTTTCTCCATCTCATATTCGAATACCTCAATATCCGATACCTCGTGCAGTCAGAGGCGATTCAATCATTTCAAACATGGCTTTCAATCTATTTCAGGTTAATGGAGGTCAGGCCAAGACATTACAACATTACATAGGTCAGTTCAGTTGTGGGGAGTTCACAGGGCAGGGCAGGGGAGGTTTAATAAGGACGAACAGTGTGGTGGTGTGGCTAAAATATTCTATAAATAACTTTTTTTCAGTTAGGGGTTTGTGAAAAATCGAAATCAGCCCAATCATTGAATAAGAAGGGCCCTGTCTAAGAACGTAACGAAATAAACTGACAACGCTATTTTTAGGTTTCTCAGAAAAAGATGCTTTGATGCAATCGTCCCCAGCATCAGCCAGCCCAGCATCAGGTTGTGTGGGAGTAAGATCGTCCATCTAACACAGGGTGACCGCCAGTTTACGGTGTACTCACCTCGCATGTTTTTGATAAAATCCTCCAGCTTCATCTTCCTCTCGGCCTTGACCGAGGGGTTGTGGAGGTCAGTGTTGAGCATGATGATGGCGAAGGCCAGGAGAAAAACCGTGTCCGGCGTTTTGAAGTTTTTCACCTGGTCTGGGTTGCACTCACAGTAGCGATCAGCGAACGCCTCCATCAGACGCTCGATTTTCTGGGCTTCACCCTGCAGGCACACAGGTCAAGGTTCAAGGGTTAAATCAAACACAACATGTACGGCCACCAAGTTGCCGAAACTAGAAGAGATGAGGAGGGGGGGGGGGGTAGAGGAGAAGTGAGGGGGAGGGTAGAGGGGGCCTAAGATGAGGGGGGAGGGTAGAGGGGGCCTAAGATGAGGGGGGAGGGAGGGGGGTAGAGGGGACGTGATATGTGGGGGGGGGGGGATAGAGAGGACGTGATATGTGGGGGGGGGGGGGGGGGTAAGAGGGTACGTGATATGTGGAAACTTGCAAAGTTTGACTTACTGGCATCCTAAAGTGACACTGGAACTTTCTTAAAGCCACGTCAACTTGTAGACCAGACAGGTCAATCTCCTCACAGAAGTATCTGAAAATAGCAGGCGGGGGTTAGGGGGTGGTAGTTGTAGTTTGTTGTGTATGGGAGGTTAGTGGGTGGTAGTTGTAGTTTGTTGTGTACAGTAGTGTGGGAAGGTTAGGGGCTATAGTAGTTGTAGTTTGGCTTGTTTATAACTACAGGTATTGTTTAAAACTATTATAGTGACTTCAGAAAGCGGCAATATTAGTACTTAAAAAAAAAAAACACCTCGCAATATCCAGGTAGGCGGAATGAAAACGAAGAGATCAATAAAATTAACTAATAGATTCTTGAGTGGAGTCGAGCAGGCTTATAGCTGGCCGGCTTCAAGTTCCCAGCTAACTTTACCAGGCCAAGACATGAGTTCTATTATTAATTATGTTGAGGTCAACGTGAGATTCCCCCCCCCCCTACATCCCGCCCTCGTAGCCTCCCCCTCATTGGTCGTCTCCCCCTCATTGGTTCCTAATGGAAGCCACTGCCTCCCCCCCCCCGCCCCGTGTTCAGATTGCCATTAAGCGAGCCACTTTCTAGGCCTGACATGAATTATTGACTAAAGATGTTCAGGGCATCTCCTCTCTGTCACGTGGTCCTAGAGAGAAACTTGGCTACTGTAGGCCCTTCAAGACACCAGCTGTGTGGGACTCATGTCTTGACAATAGCTGTGTGTGGGTGCGTGTCTCATGTCAAGACACGTGTGTGGGTGCGTGTCTCAAGTCAAGACGTGTGTGTGGGTGCGTGTCTCATGTCAAGACACGTGTGTGGGTGTCTTAAGTCAAGACACCAGTTGTGTGTGTGTGTTGAGACACCAGTTTTGTGTGTGAGAGTGTGTGACTCATGTCAAGACACCAGTTGTGTGACTCACATGTCAAGACACCAGTTGTGTGACTCATGTCAAGACACCAGTTGTGTGACTCATGTCAAGACACCAGTTGTGTGACTCACATGTCAAGACACCAGTTGTGTGTGTGACTCATGTCAAGACACCAGTTGTGTGTGTGACTCACATGTCAAGACACCAGTTGTGTGACTCACATGTCAAGACACCAGTTGTGTGTGTGACTCATGTCAAGACACCAGTTGTGTGTGTGACTCACATGTCAAGACACCAGTTGTGTGTGTGACTCACATGTCAAGACACCAGTTGTGTGTGTGACTCACATGTCAAGACACCAGTTGTGTGTGTGACTCACATGTCAAGACACCAGTTGTGTGTGTGACTCACATGTCAAGACACCAGTTGTGTGTGTGACTCACATGTCAAGACACCAGTTGTGTGTGTGACTCACATGTCAAGACACCAGTTGTGTGTGTGACTCACATGTCAAGACACCAGTTGTGTGTGTGACTCACATGTCAAGACGCCAGTTGTGTGTGTGACTCACATGTCAAGACGCCAGTTGTGTGTGTGACTCACATGTCAAGACACCAGTTGTGTGTGTGACTCACATGTCAAGACACCAGTTGTGTGTGTGACTCACATGTCAAGACGCCAGTTGTGTGTGTGACTCACATGTCAAGACGCCAGTTGTGTGTGTGACTCACATGTCAAGACGCCAGTTGTGTGTGTGACTCACATGTCAAGACACCAGTTGTGTGACTCACATGTCAAGACACCAGTTGTGTGTGTGACTCACATGTCAAGACACCAGTTGTGTGTGTGACTCACATGTCAAGACACCAGTTGTGTGTGTGACTCACATGTCAAGACACCAGTTGTGTGACTCACATGTCAAGACACCAGTTGTGTGTGTGACTCACATGTCAAGACACCAGTTGTGTGTGTGACTCACATGTCAAGACACCAGTTGTGTGACTCACATGTCAAGACACCAGTTGTGTGTGTGACTCACATGTCAAGACACCATATGTGTGTGTGACTCACATGTCAAGACACCAGTTTTGTGACTCACATGTCAAGACACCAGTTGTGTGTGTGACTCACATGTCAAGACACCAGTTGTGTGTGTGACTCACATGTCAAGACACCAGTTGTGTGACTCACATGTCAAGACACCAGTTGTGTGACTCACATGTCAAGACACCAGTTGTGTGACTCACATGTCAAGACACCAGTTGTGTGACTCACATGTCAAGACACCAGTTGAGAACATCCCCCCCCCCCAATCAAGGCTGACTCACGCTCTCAACAGATGGGTCAACACCCGGCACATGACAAGGGAAGCAACCTCCGCCACCAGCGTAACAATTGATATTTGAGATTGCCGAAAATTCAGAGTTTTGCCCCCTGATGAAGCTGCAATCACTATGTTAAAGAGGCAAGTGAATATGGAAGTGTTCACGTGCCCTCCAGTGTGGAGGTTTGTATTGATAGCCATCGTCCATTTGCTTTTCAGGGGTGGGGGGTGTGGGGTGGGGGTGGGTTTCGAGTTTTCATAAATCATTAATATTTCTCTTTGAATAGCACAAAGGATGAATCACTCAAAGAAAGAGTAGACAAAATAACTTTATATTTTAAAAAATTGTTTCATTAACAGTGATACTTATACATTATCGTTTATTTCAGCAATTGCTGTTATCGCCTGACCTCCCACCTCATACAGGTGTGAAATTCTCAGCAGGATCAAGGTGAAAACATTGGCGGGTTCAACCATAGCACACCAGACGTGAAAGGTGTTGGAAACAACCAAAAGGCCAACTCACACCAAACAATTACTGCCAGAACCACTCAAATAAATAAACAAAACACTGAGTATTCCAACACACCCAACACGTTATATATAGAAGTTTATTTTGTGACCCCTACTCAACACTATCAACAAGCAATCAGTATACTGGGTCAGTGCCATTGTCACCCAGCCTATTGTTTGTGTCCTAGACAGGTAAACGATAGGTTTGTTATGAAAACAGCATCGCTTGTTGCCATGGAAACAGCATAACTGATTAATTATCTGTTGCCATGGAAACAGCATAACTGGTTGACTACCAGTTGCCATGGAAACAGCAAGACTGGTTAACCATCTGTTGCCATGGTAACATCGCTGAGTTTGCTTCGATCCCCAGAGAGAAATGTCAACAAGATATGAAACAAATCTGACGGATTCCATCATCAATGTAAACAAAGGGCCACAATATTTCTCTGGCGAATGATTGCAACTTTGTAACAGAGGGGTCCTGATGTTTTTCTGGCGAATAATTGAACATCCAATTACACCCCCCCCCACCCTGTTGACAGTACACGACCTTCCAAAACAAAGTGAACTTTGACCTAAACTCTCACATGACTAACTTGAAACGTGGTTTGAACTAAGCTTTATTTAAATAATCAAACATGGACTGGATGTGTCAAGCCTAGAGAAATGGTAGCAGGCACGTACGTACATGAAGGTCGTCAAGAAAGCAGTCAATGGAAGGGTTGGGTGGACGTCTAGAGAATAATAGCAGGATTTTATTAAATAGACAATTTAAACTGCAGGTTTTTTCTAATATTTTTACACGTCACATCAGTCAAAATATTTCAATTAAAATAAACTTAATAAAGGATGTTATTAGAAACGTCATGCATTCGGAGCCAGGCACACAATAAATCTTGACGGATGGCGACCTAGTTAGGCCGTAAATCTGTTATGGAATGTAGAATGACGTCATAATGTTTACATAACACCTGCCAATTAAATCTATTTTTGGCATGTTATTGTCTGCTTACAGTTGGCATGCAGATTTGTTGAATATCTCTGTGTGCAGGAAATATTTGAACTTAAAAATGTTTGTTTGTAAGAAATATTTGAAGTTTGTGTGTGTGTGTGTGTGCGTGTGTGTGGTGTAAAAATATGTGTATAAGTGGTCTATATCACAGGGTAGTTAAGATAAAGAGGAGGTCCACACAACAACTAACTCAGTTGTGTTTTGAGTATGTTTGTAGGTTGGTCGGCTCACGTTTCAACTAATTCATTTAGTTACCCCAACATCAGACAACCATCTTTAGCACCCTTTGCTTTCCACAGCCGACCAGGCTAAAGACGCACGCTGTTGACCCCGTGAGTTTGAATGTGAGTGATACTAAGTGCCATCTCCAACACAACAGACGTCTTTTGTATGCGAGCGGTGCGGGCCAAATGTCAACACTGGCTCATACACGCAAACATTTTAACCCTCTCATGTCCGCCCCAAGGCGGTTATTTATAGAGAGAAACCAGGACCTTAGGGATTAACTTTTGTACAGTTAATTAAGGCGGAAAAATATTTTGCTAGACGTGAGTGATCGGACCACCCTGACGCTGGATCATGGTGATCAAATCAAATATTTTTACAACAGTTTTATAGACATCAGACTCACAGACAGGTTGCATAAAAACTGCTGACTTTAGACAGCAACAGACAAGATAAACTGACACCTCACTACCAAGTGTGTAGACAACAGATGGGTGTAAGACAGGCAGGGACAAGACAGGCAGGGACAAGACAGGCAGGGACAAGACAGGCAGGGACAAGACAGGCAGGGACAAGACAGGCAGGGACAAGACAGGCAGGGACAAGACAGGCAGGGACAAGACTGGCAGGGACTAGACAGGCAGGGACAAGACAGGCAGGGACAAGACAGGCAGGGACAAGACAGGCAGGGACAAGACAGGCAGGGACAAGACAGGCAGGGACAAGACTGGCAGGGACAAGACAGGCAGGGACAAGACAGGCAGGGACAAGACTGGCAGGGACAAGACTGGCAGGGAAAAGACAGGCAGGGACAAGACTGACGGGACTAGACTGACGAGTACAAGACAGACGGGTATACAAATCCACCGGTCAAAATTGCTCGCTGATCGTCAGACAAAAACTGAAAGATTTCACGGCTGATTTCGTCCAGTTCAAAGAACCTGCCATAAACATGACGCTCTACCATGGCTCTGGGCATCCCTGTCTGGCTCAAGTGGATTGGGACGGGGATGGGGGGGGGGGTATATCGCTTACACCAAGACTATCCAAGTTACAAAAGCTGTTCTATGGACGTGCCCTGTGAGTGGTTCACACCACGTGACAAGAGAGTTAAGATCAGCTCTCACGTGACCAACGCGTTAGGATTAGCTCTAGGCCTCTATACGTCCCAGACGTCTATGCTGCCATCAAAGGTTGGGTGAGGGGGGGGGGGGGAATGTGCTGGCGCCATTAAACATATTGTTTCAGGCAATTAGAGCCTGTCATCCTGGTCTGGTAGCTTATCTGTGAGAGTTAAGACCAGCAGTGCCTCAAGCTATAGCCAGGTACCAGACATCTCAGCGATAATGGAGGAGAGGCGGGTGTACATTTCCATTCATTAAAACCTGACTTCAAACATCAGTAGCTCTTGAATCTTCTTTAAGTGAGATGCCATGTACCATAAGTTAGGGGGGGAGGTTACTTTTTATCAGAGAGCTAGGCCCAGACAGAGTGAATTGAATCAAACCACTAAACAACTGTAACTATAACAACACACAACAGCTAACATACAGACAAAATGAATCAACTTAAAACATACACCAAGAAAAAAAACCACTTACTGTAAGACCTCCTGATTGAATGGGTTCTGTAAGTTGCCCAGAAATTCTCCAATCATTTGCTTACTGAGTCCTTTCCTTGAAATGAAAAATCTGGCCACACTTCTGGGGGAACTGTCCAAGAAATTGTTCTCTAGTAAAAAATCCAATCCTTTTTCTGGTTTTCTGTAGGGAGAAACATACAAATATACTGAGCTATCTGTAAACTCAATGATATTTACTTGAGGGAAACCATCTAGAAAGCAATGTTGAGTATAAAGCATTACTAAGAGAAACTGTAAAGAAAATAATGTTGAGTATAAATATATTTCTTGACATGACCAAATGGGTTAAGCTTTAAGAAGAATTAAATTGTGAATAAATGTGAGGTTGTATGTGTACTCACTTGTTGAATAAATTAAGTCCTATCCTGTACAGCCGCTTCCTCTGTTTATCATTGACTCTGGGCAGGGTCTGAGACTCTGGGGTGATGCTCATCCTGAGCTTGCGCTGGTAGCTGAGGGAAGTCTCGCTGCTGACACTGATGTTCTCCGTGCTGACGTTCTCAGAGCTCAGGGAGTTGCCCTCCACACTGTCAGCCTCGCTCGTCTCGGAGATGTTGCTCATCCTCTTCAGGTCCTGCTTGTCTGAGAGTGCCAACTTCTCTGGCATGGTCAGCTTCTCGCCTCCGTTGGACACCAGAGCCGCAGGGCCGTCACCTTTTCGCTTCCAGATGGGCGAGGTGTCTGACGAGCGAGTCGGGGGGACGACTGCCACGTTTGGGGACAGGTCTCTGTTCCTGTACTTGACCTGGGAGTTGGTCATGTAGAATTTCATCTGGGCTGCAGCCAGCTGTTCTTTGGTGTAGACAGGGCTGTCGGGGTCGGGCGAGCCGGGGTCTATTCTCACCTCCGGCGTGTCCTCTGCTATGTAGTCGGAGGGGTCTATGGAGATAGTCCTGAAGCTGTCAAACGACCCCCCGGGGGAGGACGAGATACGAGCCAGGTCAGAACTATAATCCAGATTAGACACCAACGATGAGGCGGATGGTCTGTTGCTCAGGGCCAACTGACCACTGCCGGACATGTCTTGGACACTGCTGCCCTCGCTGTGGAAGCTGTCTGTAAGAATGTCTGTTTCTTTACTCTCTAGGAGAGTCTCAAAGTCTACACTCTGTGGGTCCACGGCCGCATTTTCCAGGCCTTGTTCACTCATGTCCTGGTAGGGCCCCCTGTTCGATAGGTCCCCACTAGTGTAGGGCCCCCTGTTGGAGAGGTCCCCACTGCTGTAGGGCCCCCCACTGGAGGCACTCCCTTGACTGCTTACACTCCCACTCTTAGACCTGTTGCCACGGTTACCGTCCACATTAAATCCTGGATTACTGAAAGAGTTACGGCTCATGTGGCCATGGTGGACCTCCCTCCCGTAGGTGTACTCCACGCCCGCGTGACGGTCAAGTTTACGTTTACTCTCCACCCGCTGCACCCCCGCCCCTGAGCTACGGTCCCGCGCTACCTGTGGGTACCCAGGGGAGTCAGAGGCCCTACTAGAACTTTCGAACTCTGCCACCAGGCTGCGGATGTTGCGGGTGAAAGCCTCCCCCTCCCCGGGGATGTTGCCGTTGTCATCTGTGGCGGCACTGAGGTCCCCAGACAGGCGGTCAGTCCAGATGGTGTTGCTCCTGCCCAGCTCCGACAAGCGTTTGGACAGGCGGCGCTCGCCGTAGGAATGGCGCAGCTTCTCAAAGTTTTTGTTCATGCAATACTGCCTGAAGGCTCTCTGTATGGTCCGGGCAGCCCTTCTTGAGCGTATGGAGCCGCCATATTTTCTCTCTAGCATCTCAACCTGGGGAACAACAAGAGAACAATATCAGGGCACAGCTACAAGATGGTAGGCCATCAGATGGTAGGTACAAGATGGAAGGTCAACAAACGTACAAGTTGGTCGGTGGTTATAAAACTAATGTCGGATTTTAAAGATTGGTTTTGAAGTTTTTTGTATTATCGGTAACTAAACATTTATATTTCTTCATTCACTGAAAATGTCTTAAACGTGGTATAGCTAGGCAAAGTTTTGAGTACAACTACAACAAAGAGGAGTTTTCAGACGACTGATCATGAAGTTCTTGTACAGCCAATCAACGTTTGTCTTAAGAAAGTGAAACTTCAAGTTATAATTTAAGTTTCATGAAAATAAATAGACATTGAGTCTTTAAACGAAAAAAAAATTAAGTTCTCGGCAACTAAAAATATTAATTTTCTGATTTTTTTTGTTCAGGCCTAAATTTTTTTTTTCCTGACAGCTTTGATCGCAAAATCGAAAAAAAGCGCGATTTTCTAAGAATCCATGTCGACAATAATGATGGAACCACATCAAACTTGGCTACCTCCATTTACAAACACATGAGAGTGCATCTGTTGAGTTAAGCTGTTCTAACATTTCGTTGCATTCACGTATCACATAAATACAGCAATTTATCATCTCTAATGTATTAGCATCTTCATTATTCAGCAATATAACACACGACCATTATAACAAAAACTCTAACATTTTTTAAATACATTATTCAAATATGCACAGTATCCAAGAATCTAGCACATACTGAAAACATACATGTTTAGCTGTGTTAGAGCTCTACTTTAGGCCTAGGCTCAGAGAGAACAAGAACTAGTTTGTCACAACACTCAAGTGTAGCCACAAACTTTCCACTTGAGGCAAAGGATGACCTACATTCACGACAGAGAACAGCTCATGATCGGCGACACACACACAACACACATGACAACAACACAGCCATCAGACGCAGGTCAGTTGACGTAGCCACGAAAACAGGACAATGGCCAGATGACCTGATTTGACAGCGATTAGAATGACGTAAACAAATTAGCCCCCCCCCCCCACACCCTAATTAAAAGTTTGTAAAAACTAGCATACAAGCACAGTCATGACGTTAACATGAGCTAAGTGACGTCAACGTGTTTAAAGTGGTGACTAGAATGACGTCAGAACGTTTCCTGAATGTGTTAAAAACCGCCTGCTTGTGTTTTTTCTGTCAGCATGAAAACCTGTCACATCATAATGCTGTGTGACTTATGTTGGTATATGTTGTTGCTGCAGTATACTTCACATTTGACTGCTTCATACAACTGTGTCGTACCCACATGCTAATTAAATTAACAATACAACAATGTAATGAACTCACCTGCTAATTAACAATGTAAAGAACTCACCTGCTTATCATGCAGATCCTGAGAAAGTTGGTAGGAGCTTTGATGTGGCCTTGACCTCTTTATGACGTCATCGCTGCTATTTTTCAACGAGCGTTGCCGCTGGATTCGGCTGTGATTGTGGACGCTGTTCTGGCTGACCAGCTTCCCTCCCCTGGGGGACGAGTCTAGCCCACTTTGGCCGCGAGATGGCGTCTCATTGTAACCTTTGACCCCTGTCACACTGTAGAGGAAAAAAACATTGAAATTAATTTTCCAAACTGTCACATGAAATCAATTAGGTAACGTCACGGTTTATGTAATGACTATCAATATGGCGGCGAGATTTCATGAGATCTGACAGTTCATGTAAACAATGCCGGTACAGCACGTATCCACATCGTGGCGTTTAGCCGGCCATAACGGCCCCTGCAGGAAGACGATAAACGAACAACTTCCGGTGCTCGTGGTCCCACAAGTGTGCTGCTAGTTCACGCTGACCTACAGGAGTGACCAGCAGCCATTGACCACAGACTCTGTACCGTTTAGCGATGTTAAAGTCAGGGACAGGTCACAGAATCAAACCTTGAATTTGTACAACGGCTGTCTTTAACATTACGTAATGTAAGACCCAGGACTTAATTACAAGAATACATAATTGGTAACATTATCCATTATTAGATCCAAGATCCCCTCAATAAAAGTACTATTGAAAAAATACTGGACAAAGTCCTACATGTCCCAAGATAACATAGTTAAGTCAACATCGCTCAAAACATCACTCAACACATCCAACATCACACATCGCTCAACACATCAAACACGAGATGCACCCTACCCCAAACGGAGCCAGTAGACAGTCTATATCCAACGTCCCATGCCCATTTTTATTGCATCAAAAGGACAGACATTTCCGGTCTTGTCGCTGGGCCAACCTAGCAAGGCCATGACGTGTGACCCATACTTTACAACACAGAGTAAAGCATCCTTTACGTCCAGCAATTGACGTGTGACCCATACTTTACAACACAGAGAGTAAAGCATCCTTTACGTCGGAGCTAAGTCCGACAATTGAACACACATCCATTATCACGTCAAGTGTGTACTACACAACAACTGGATACATCCATCTTGACAGCAAGGATCCAGCAGCATCCATCATGATGGATGAGCCAGTTAGAGCGTGTAGCTGTGTATTCACCTGCTGACCCATTACCACGTCACATCTCATCTTACAGTGGATGGACCGACCAGTTGGCTTTAGTAGGGACGTGTGGAGTCTAGATCTACTAGAACTTAGGGACGTGTGGAGTCTAGATCTACTAGAACTTAGGGACGTGTGGAGTCTAGATCTACTACAACATTAGGGACGTGTGGAGTCTAGATCTACTACAACATTAGGGACGTGTGGAGTCTAGATCTACTACAACATTAGGGACGTGTGGAGTCTAGATTCAATACAACATTAGGGACGTGTGGAGTCTAGATCTACTACAACATTAGGGACGTGTGGAGTCTAGATCTACTACAACATTAGGGACGTGTGGAGTCTAGATCCAATACAACATTAGGGACGTGTGGAGTCTAGATCTACTACAACATTAGGGACGTGTGGAGTCTAGATCTACTACAACATTAGGGACGTGTGGAGTCTACATCCAATACAACATTAGGGACGTGTGGAGTCTAGATCTACTAGAACTTAGGGACGTGTGGAGTCTAGATCTACTACAACATAATGACATTAAGGACGTTTGGTTTAGATATATTACTATAAGATTATAAAATTAAAGACGTTTGGTGTAGAAATCACTAGAAGATTATAACATTAAGAACGTTTTGAGTCGAGATCACTAGCTGATTATAGTAGCTGTAAGGACGTTAGGACGGTGCTGACGTAGATATGACTAACATTATGGCAGTCATAAAAGTGGCACAACCCAATAAATCTGCATTAAGCAGCAAGACATTCACATAAACTACGTCACACTTATTTTATGCTCTAAAAACTACGTTAAACCGTATAATAGAAAAAATAATCAGTAGCCAGTTATATATAAAATATGTAGCATTACAGCTGCTGGTAATTCATTTTGGCCTATTTAGAATACTTTTTAAAAAAAAACTAAGTGTTTTTATGAATATTTTGTCTAATTTTAGGATATATATATATTTTAGGTATAAAGTATAATCGTCATATATAGTCGATATATAAGTGAGTTAATTTAATTGAAGTACTGGTAGGTTGATCGGTCGTTCTAGCATCTCGTAGTTAGGTGGATAATTAGGTAAACTTAGGACAGGTAACGAGATGTGACCACAAGTAATCAAACACATAGCCCTTGTGATTAAAAACCAAGTATCTTACACAGGTGTAATATTACTAGCAAAGCAATCAGCCAGACTAAAGTACATAAGCAATAAGTCATCAGTAAGCTAGATTGCAAGCTATGATTGAAACACAGTCACAAACAGCAGCAGATGTTGGCGCAAGATTTTCTGACTAAATAAAGGTAAAATACATGGCCTAAAACAATAAGAGGGTGGGGAAAATGGAACACAAATACACTGGAGGGTGGGGAAAATGGAACACAACTACACTGGAGGGTGGGGAAAATGGACAGATCGAGCACTGTTCCCACGTAGTGTGTAGTTAACAGTTTAGCATACAACATTACACAGGGGGAGGGGGTATATTTAGCTGCTTAAATGATAAATTAAAAAAAAAAAACATTTCGGATCAATTTTTGTACATTCCCGACTTCACTATGAAATATCCTTTAATATTAAAAGGAATATTGAATGAATAAAATGCTGATGTCTGCTCTCACAGTCAGAATGCCAGATTTTCATTGCAACATGACCGCTCTACTTGCGTCAAGATGTTTCTATTTTTGGTGGCCGTTATATCTATTTCTGTTTTCATGTTTTTATCATCTCAGCGATTTTAATGTCTGCTGCCAAGGTCAACAACCAGTCTACAGAAGTTGGTGGTTCAGGTAGAATTAACTGCCGCAGGATGCGGTGGTTCTAGCTGGCTGATGTGGTTCTAGCTGGCTGATGTGGTTCTAGCTAGACGATGTAGTGTTGCTAGCTAGACGATATAGTGGCGCTAGCTAGACGATGTAGTGGTGCTAGCTAGACGATGTAGTGGCACTAGCTGATGTTAGGAGAGAGTTGGCAACCCTGCCTATAGCCAGATGTTTTGCTGACCTAGCTGTCATGCACCTATAGCCAGATGCTGACATAGCTGTCATACTCCAGCCGAAAACTAGCCATATCCATACACATACAGGAAGTAAAAAAAAATCTGTTCAGCTTTGCTAAGTAAATTAATCCTTCCCGCAGGCTCCACAGAATTACAGGTAAGATGATGAGTAATACCTGTCAGTTGGTAGCGGAACAGCTTGGCTAATACGTGCAGAAAGGGGCGAGTGTAGGTGAATTAAACATTGCTTACATCAAGGTAGAAAATTGTTTTAAAAAACAAACTTTACATTAAAGAAAATGGATGAGGGTGAAGGTGGTAAACCCATCTGAGGCCTATCAGGCCGCGTGGGGTGAAGTGAGGTAGATAAATGAGGTAAACTCAGGTAGATAAATGAGGTAAGCTCAGGCCGGGAGGTGGGGTAAACTTTACGAGAGGTGTTATGGGTAAACGCGGGAACGATGAGAGCATTAATGGAACAAGCAGACGACACAGGCTCCTGGTCCGGACATCCAGCGCTCACACCTGATTAATGCTTTAAATAACATTGGTTCAGCTTCAGGCATTAAAGTACAGCTAGCATTTTACGACCGCTACTAAATTACACCCCAAATGACCTTTAACCTGGGAAGGGGGGGGGAAGAAAGGACGGCTTGTAGCAAACAAGTGTTGAATCCCATCCCCGCTTCACACACACAGACTATGTTGTGTGTCTGATCTTATGACAGACTATGTGTCTGATCTTATGACTGACAGACTAACCAACAACCATAGGATGAATGTACTTAATTCAACATAGCACCCTATTTTCCCATTAGGGACCGATAATGGACAGTCAAAATCTGGGTGTTAGTGCTAGGGTTAGAACTAAAGTTATGGTTAGTCGAGACAACAGCAAGCAAGGTCAGAGATTGGTTTATTACCAGCAATTAAAATTAGCATGTTTAAAGTATACAATGTATAGACATGATCGGACGCTGGGTGAAATGAAAATCTGGCCAACAACTAAAGTTATAAAAACTGAACTGGATGAAGGAAACGGATGATCAAGCCAATTGGCTGAGTGGTTTTTTTAACTCGACATTTTATGACAGTAAAACTATTGTCAGTTTCGCTTCCGCTTCACCCAACAGCAGACCTTTGAACTCTACACATTGGCAATCTTACACGCCAGTGAACGAAATGTTAACACACATATACACCAGTGAACGAAATTTTAACACACATACACACCAGTGAACGAAATGTTAATATACATACACACCAGTGAACGAAATGTTAACATACATACACACCACTGGACGAAATGTTAACATACACACACACACACACACACACACCAGTGAATGAAATGTACAAACGCATACACGCGCACACACACACACTCACACACACACACCAGTTCACTTAGTGCACAGTTTACAAAATGATCGACGCTGTTGACCTTTGAAAATATACCGATCCAAATCACGAACATTCAGATCCAATATTAAAATAAAAAAATTTAAAAAATAAAAATCGCCATAACGTTTAAAGACAGTCAAAAATAATAAACCCACGAGATTACAGCCCCCCCCCCCCACTACTCCTCCCCACGGGTCTGTCCGTCACTGTCTATTTGAGGTGTCAGTCGCTGCACCGCTTGACCTTTCCGACAGCGTGAGATGAATGAGCGACCTGTCCCAGAGTTACGGTCCCTGTCCCAGAGTTACGGTCCCTGTCCCAGAGTTACGGTCCCTGTCCCAGAGTTACGGTCCCTGTCCCAGAGTTACGGTCCCTGTCCCAGAGTTACGGTCCCTGTCCCAGAGTTACGGTCCCTGTCCAAGAGTTACGGTCCCTGTCCCAGAGTTACGGTCCCTGTCCAAGAGTTATGGTCCATGCCCAAGAATGCACAATGATTGACACAGTCCCGGGTCATTCTAACTTGGGCCCTTCGGACTTGGGTTAAGAAATCCCGAAACATCAAGTACATAATTGGGAGCGTCTGGTTGACAAAAGCGCCAGTAAAAACTAAAAGAGAGACCGGATACTCTGCT